CAGTGTAATTGGAGCAATAGGGGGTCATTTCCTGCGAGAAAGGAGCTTAATTGTGATGACTCATCGCTCATTGAGGTCGCTGCATCTCCCAGCAACCTCAACTGTCGTCAGAAGAAGACCAGATCGCCTTCACCCACAACCCCTCCTCACCCCCTTCCCTCCCTCTCTCCAGAGATTTTCCTCTGAACTTGTTCCTCGTCTCATCCCGCCTTCATGAAGCCACTGTGCCCTGCGAGGACTTCAAAAGAACCTCGTTAATCGCCCTCGAGCGGCCCCCTCAAAAACCACAGCAAGAAGTCGGCTGAAAAATCCAAACAAACATTACGCTGATGAGCGGGTTTGTCTGTCTTAGGTCACGCAACGCAGCCCGTCGAGCCCGTCGAGTGATCGGATACTGGAAAGTAAACAACTCGCTTCACTGAGGTTTGAAGTAAAATGGAGAGCGGAGGATAAAGGTTAAGAGAGGAGGAGCAATCTGCTGTGGCTGTTTGACAGAAAATAAGGACAAAAAAGATATGCAGCTGCAAGCGGCTAGGAATGTTTTCTTATCGTCACTGAGCTGGTCTGGCTGGTCTGATTTTGGGGGGGGGGGCTTATCAGCGGTTTAGGCCCCGAGAACTGAGTGGTGATGGATTGCAGTTTAGGCAGTGTAGTGATAGCCTTACAGAGACATCAGCCTGGAGAGTTTAGGCGACGAGGAAGAGGGTAAGAGAGACCTTGGCAGGCTTTGAGTTGTTTTTGGGAACCTAATGTTTCTTCCCTTCTTATTTAATCAATATAAACAGCAAGAATGCATTCGAGGCAGATGTTGAAGCCATGCAATAACGTCTGGGATATTTTTAAGTTTGCAGGGAGGAAGTCTAAGTGAAGTCAGGTTCACATGTAGGTCAAAAGTCATCTTCAAACACTGGAAGTGAACTGTTAGCATGGTTCTTATATAGATACCATGGGATCAGTTATGGCTAACACCAGTAAAAGTCACCAAAACTGCCTTAGAAATAGTTTAAATATTGATTAAAAAAATGTTTTCCCAGTTACCATACAATATATTAGTCATCAAGGACACTTTAAAGTCAGCCTGCTACGTGATACTGCACCTAGCACTTTATATCCCATTGAACACCCCTTCAATAGTTACCATTAAGAACTCTGTGCCCTGCTTTAATACAGCTGTTGTATCTGGTTTTATTCCTCTTTCATTATGTACATATTTAGTGTTAAGTTTTTTTTTAATGGTTTTAAACAGGCCACCTTGTTATCTTGTGTTTTTAATGCCACATATTTGCACACAAGTCAAAAACTAATTTCTGTATTTGCATGCAAAAGTAGACAATATAAAGTATGTTTTCTTCCCACGTACCAGGTATCAGTGTGTATGCCAGTCAGTGCTCAGATCCAAAACCACAAACCAATTACACCTAAAAAATCCCCTGATGCTAAGTTTTTCTTTTTAGTTGGGGAAAGTGTGAAATGATCAAACAGTTTGATGTGGTGGTGTAATGTGAGTCATATCAAGCAAAATGTCATCCATAACTAGGGAATCAAAAGTTTTACACAAGCACCTAAATATCACTTAGAGCAGCTTTTTATGGCTATTACTTCAGGTTCATTCAGTTTGTACACATTTTGTTCTGAGTTTGAGACACAAAAATGATGTCAGAAGATAAACAGCTCTTTAACTCTATTAGAGCTGTAATCCGAGGCTCATGTTGGATGGGGAAAAAAGCCAGAGAAAAATTGTATCTTGAATTGAAACTCGCTGCGAAATCATGCATCTTAAGCTGCACAATCCCAGAAAACACCTGTAAAGTTCTGCAGGGACTCAACAATGTCTCTCCACACATGATGATAAATGTGGAGTGAAATATGAACTGAGAAAACAATCAGCTCAAACTTGTAGCAGCTCTGTCTGCTCATAAAATCAACGATTACACCCCCTTGTAAGAATCAAATATCCGGGCTCATAAAACCCCTTTATGCACCACAAAAAGTTCCTGTTGTTCATGTAACTGATCCATCAAGGTCAGCGTTACATCCATACCTAGGAGGAGCTGGCTAAGCTGGAAAATGTTCCATTCACCGCTGTGTGTGTGGTCAAAAAGATAAAGGAACACCAGAGATTGAAATCCAGGTAGAGTGTCTCCAGCAGGACAGTACAGAGACAGTAGCATAGAGAGAAAACACGGGATGAACAAATCAGTAAAAGAGTGATAACCAGTGACAGGAACACAAACTGAGACAAGCCAGAGTAACGCACAAATGATCAAGAAGAGGAGATGAAAGAGGACCAGGTTTCCCTTCCTGTGCACGGTCCTGTGTGTCTGGTAGACTACTCATCCTCAATTCCAGCAGCCTGTTTCTCTCTCAGGCTTTGATGTGCCTTCACCCAGACAGGATATTACACTTTAATGATCTCCTGATAGGACTCCCCTCTTGCTCACAGCAGAGCAGAGGGGCAGGGAGTGTGAGTGAAGCATGTAATCATTTAGACACTGCAGACACACTCACAGAGAGAGGGAAGAGATAGTTCACCTGCCAACTTCAAGTCCTTTAGCACCCATCAAACAAACACAAACAAACGCACACACACGCCTAAGCGTTATTCATAAGTCTGCACAATCAGCTGTTTTTCAGGAGGCTAAAGACCGGCCTCAACTCCACTTCTTTACCTGTTTCTAGACTGACCTTTAAGAAGCCCAACGATGGCATTTCCAACATGGCGGCTACCACTGTAGAGCTTCAAAATGCTTTTTCATGAATCAATGGGTGACGTTACTGGGTTACGTCCATGTTTTATATGGAGAGTTAAACTTAATAAATCAGCAATTTTTCATAAATGGTCAAAGGGGGGTAGACTGAGCTGGTTTAAGAGCAGGACTCAGCCAAAGGAGCGCTAATAGAATAGGTCTGCTTTATACAGTTAATTCAAGTTTCCAAGTTAAGAGACCGCAGTCAACTTTTGCGATATGAGAAGTTCATGTTTTTATTCCGGCTGACAGCTGTAACTGATCTCATTTCAAATGTCGTACAAAGCCCCTCGAGCTCAGGAATATGTTTGCTCAGGGTGTTGCGGAGTGTTTGATCCGTTGATTCTCTGGTGAGTGTCAGTATGTCAGCAGACACACTTAACTGAATCTATCAACACAAACTCAGGCACTTCACCCTGTCAGACATGAACTCAAACTCTGGATGAAGACCATGTGAGACGGAAAGAGTCTGAGGAAAAGACAGAAGAGGTGACCGAGAAAGAGAGACAGAAAGAAAGAGGGGGGCGGGGGGGGGTGTATTATCAAAACTCAGACACACACTAACACAAACACAAAGGACTCTTCAACTAAACCAGTAAAATCCCAAAACAAACAGGTTTACTTGAGGGACAGATCTGTTTGAATAGTCAGATACAGTACTGAAATGTTAGAAAAAAAAGGAGCTGCCGGATGGAGAGCAGGATTTCCAACTGTCAGCACACTTCAGGTCAGGAGAGGTTCTTGCAAGACTAGTGGAGAAAATGCCGGGGTTTTATACGATAGAAAAAGATGATATAAACCTGTGTGGATACTGCGGCAACAACAATACAAGTTCAGGGTACCCAACTTTGTGTAATTTTGTGTTTTGATTACCAAATAAGGCGTGCAAATTCATGCCCACTGTCTAAATTGCATAAAGACATTGGCGTTGTTTCTGTACCAAGACGTTGCCAATGTATTTGTGCAACTTAGACGTTGCTGTATCTCTTCCGCTCCTGGTGACTATTGGATTAAAAATATGAATGAAGATCTAAAGCTTTGGAATTTCTCAAAGGTTTTCGAGCATGTGGTATTGAGAAAAGGTATCAAAGTTACTGCTCACGCAGAGTTTCATCTATTGCAGAGGTGTTCAGGGGGAAAGTGAGTTTTTGTTCCAGTATGTTCAATATCATTTTCAGTTCAGTCTTCAAAATGAAATACCATCATCCTAAGAACTGTCTTTGAAACATACAAAAAAAGGAAATGATTTGAGGTATTTTCCCCCCTCATATCTGCCTCACTAAAGCCTCTGCAGCCTGCAGGGGAGCTTTGCAGGTGAGCTGCTGGAGCATGTCAAAGCCTGCTGCTCTCTCACCGACTGGCTCTGGGAACTGGGATACGAACACATTTACTACAGCAGACCATGATATTATCTGCACTTCTGTGGTAACATCAGAAGAGGAAGTTCAAAAAGTAATAGTGGCAGTATTACATCTAAATTCTTAGAAACAGAGGAACACAAAAGCTTCATGTTCACATTTCAGTTGGAGTTTAAGGAAATCCTACTGGGCCGTGTCTTTTCAAAACTGGTTCTCCCAGCTAAATGGAAATGTTTCAGTGCCTTTTTTTTTTTTTTTTACCTTTTCGCAGGCGTGAAAATGATCTTTATTCAGAAAACCTGAAAAATTAGCAGCAATTTCTTTAATATTATATGATTCTCTGTGCACTTTCTGTTGTTTACATCCTGTTTGCAGTTTTAAAGCGCAACGTCTGTGATCTTTTCTGTATAAAAAAACCTAAACCTTCATTTTAGGACTATTTGGGAAAGAGGCAGCACACACAAACCAACGTCTTTCCACCTGATGTAATAATGTTTTCATTGCACACTCAGGAGAAGATTCTTTATGATGACATCAGGACTAATCAGTTGATATGACCCATCTGTGTTGGCCAGTAGATTGTTGACAGAATGTGAAAATTTAATCTGTAAGGAAATCTCACTGTGTGCTGCATCTGTGTGTGTGGCTCTTTTATCAGCTGATAAAGCCACTGACAGTTTTGAAGGGAATCAATGGAAGCCTTTTGGGATGTTTGCGCCATCAAGAGAATCTTTATACCTGTGTTTGCATGCACACACACGTCCATGTTAATGCATGTAAGAGAGAGAGAGAGAGAGAGAGAGAGAATGTGAATGGGAGAGGGAGAGGGAGTTTTGGGTTAAGACCATGCCCCCTTTCAGCTGCTGCTTGTTTCAGTCTGACTTCACTCCCTCGGCTGTGTCAGTTTGACTGTGACTCACTGGTCGCTCATGTTTGGATTCCCTTCACTGAGAAGCAGATGAAGAGCGGGATAAGGGCAACGCCACAACAACAATTTCAAGGTACATCTCCGGGTTATTACCTGTGTCTGACGCAAATTTGAGATAGATAATATCATTATTGTGAGGGGATTTGTTTCAGATTATTTTCATATGGTTGCATTTGTGTTGTGTTTCTACAGGACAGAAAAAGGAACATAATCAATACCATTTTAGGATCCTCAGATATTTGTGATTAAATTGAATCTTTGCTGAAATGTTAAACTTATCAATTGCTTTATAACCAACTTAAGTCTTGGGGGGGGGGGACTGCTGAAGCTGTCGTATTTAAAACAAATGAGGAGGATTAAATGTAAGATTTAAAAAAAAATGCTATCCTTGTATTTTTTGTTTTAAAGAAGTCATATAATGTACAGGAAACATCCTGCCATTCTCCTGAACACGAATGTGTACTTTTGTTATTATAACACACATCTTTGATCATATTTCATGATAAATAACTGACACTAAAAGACGGCCGTTCATTCATAATCTTCATTCTGATGCATCCAAGGCAAAGTGACCTACTTTACAAATGAGAGACTCTAATCAGCTGTTCGTGGACAAATTGGACAGGCGACATGTTTATTTCTTTTTTTCCATACTCTTGGCAACAGGTTGAGTGTTTGAAATGATGAAAGTCTTTACATCACTGGGTAAATGTTAACATATGACCCAAGAAGCGAGAAAAACGTTCCCTCACACGACAGAAACTCAGAGGAATGCGACCCTAAGCACCCCGTCATTTCTCTTCTCTCAATCTCAGTTCAAGCTCAAATACTTGAACCGCAGGCCTCAGTGGGTTTCTACTAAACCTTTGGCCATGCTGTGTGAGTGTGTTCACACGAGCAGGGGCACGCTTCACAAAAAACACCTCATCTACTCTGTGTAAAACAGCTGCATGTGTGCCAAATGAAGTGCATGTGTTGTGATTGTTCTTGTCTAACAAGCTCATAATGACTGACGTGCGCTGTAAACACGACTGTGCAGACTAAATGTTTGTTTGACGTTAATGTGATCTCTCTGTCTTTGCTGTGTTTGGTATCATATTCTATAAACATGCAATAATAACTTGCATCTGTTTTAGTGGCGGCGTGAGGTCATTACTGTGGTTTAAGTTTAATGTCATTTTACAGCTGAATGTCACAGAAATGTATTTATTAAACTCACATAGCAGTGATACAGTACTTTACTGTATGTCAGGTAAAGAGCTTTTCAGTTACAGTGTTTACACCACCAGTCTACTCTCTGCCTATGGGGAATCAAGAATTTTGCATTTTTGATGGGGCGTAATATCAAATACTCAGATGTAATTTATCTTGGACTTACACTTTCAAAATGAGCAGATTGTCTCTTACTTGATTTACATTCAGAATGATTTCTTTCAAGATCTTTTAAAGTTTCAGCTTCTAGTGATTTTGCATCCTTTCTGTCCATTATTGTTCATGCTTTTTTTTACGTCTTTCTGCAGCTGCATCTGGACCCTCTAAACCAGGAAAAACCGAGCTCAACATCCCCACCTTCTGGTTAAAAAAGTGAACACCTATGGAGTCTGTTGGATTACACAGTTTCAACTCCATGTGATTTCTCTATTTCCAGAAGGAGCTCACATATTTTTTTGTGCATTTTTTTCTTCTTGGACCAATTCTTCACAGCTCCCTCTGCCAGCGGCATGTCAGCAAGAATGACTTTATAGCTGCTGAGTGCAGGCAGAATAGAGGAAGAGTAACATCAAGCATGGAGACTTCAACTTCTGCTCATGCATGGACTCCCTCCCTGTCACCCGTCTTCCCCACTTCCTCCTCTCCGTCCTCTCCCTCCTCTCCCTCCTCTCCCTCCTCTCCCTCCTCTCATGGCTACCTGCAGTTCTTCTGGGAGTACCAGAACAACTCTGTCATTGTGGAGCATTACAACTACACGGGCAAGCTGCAGAAAGACCGCTACCGCGAGGGGCTCAAGCCTGAGGGCTACGCCTTCCTGGTGGTGTGTCTCCTCATCGTCCTGGAGAACGCCGTGGTTCTCATAGCCATCTGGAAGAACAAAAAGTTCCACCTGCCCATGTACTACCTGCTGGGAAACCTGACTCTGTCTGACCTGCTGGCCGGGATTACATACATGGCCAACATCATCATGTCAGGACCTAACACTCTGAAATTGACGCCATTGTTATGGTTCCTCAGGGAGGGAGGGGTCTTCATCACTCTGGCTGCCTCTATAATAAGTCTGCTGGCCATTGCAATTGAACGGCATGTTACTATGGTGACCATGAGGCCATACCATGGGGCAAAGCGCGGGCGAATGTGGGCACTGATTGGTGCGAGTTGGGCGGTGTCAGGATTTCTTGGTGTCCTCCCAATTTTGGGGTGGAACTGCATCCACAGACTGGACCAGTGTTCGACCGTCCTCCCGCTCTACTCCAAGAGCTACATCCTGTTCTGCGTCTCCGTCTTTATCGCCGTGCTGCTTGCGATCGTGATCCTGTACGCCAGAGTGTTTCGCATCGTCCGCACAAACACACAGCGCCAGCGGCTCGGCCTCTCCGGCAGCATGAGGAAAGGCTTGGCGAGGAAGTCGCAGAAATACTTCGCCCTCCTCAAGACCGTCACCATCGTGCTGGGCGTCTTCATCGCCTGTTGGCTGCCCCTCTTCTTCCTCCTCCTCCTGGATTTTTTCTGCCCCACCCACGGTTGTTACCTTCTCTTCAAGGCAGATTACTTTCTGGGAGTAGCCATGGTCAACTCTCTCCTCAACCCCATCATCTATACTCTGACCAGCAAGGACATGAGGAGAGCCATCCTCAGGCTGCTCTGTCAGCCATGTTTGATGACCAGTGATGGACAGGTGAAGAAAATCGGGATGCCGTTCCTGGAGTGCAGTTTCAGCAAAACCGAGGTGGCATCACAGAAATTAGAGGGGGGCCTGGAGACGACCATTTCTTCAGGGAACAATGTCACCACCCCTTCTCCAATAAAGTCCCTTTACCCCAAACTCTTCAAGTCACAAGGACTTTGACTGACTGAGTCAATAAGTGCATAAATGGGTTTCCCACTGATCAGAGGACATGTAGCAGCAGGCTGTTCGGTGATCTCAAATGTGGAGTGTAGCCAGAAACAGAAGGTGTATGAAATGTAACGGAGGCCTCACCTGGAAAGGTCAGGAGTGATGCAGCTACAGCAACAAAACCGTGTGAAAGTTTTGACATTACCACAAAACCAAAGGATGCCACTCAAATGTGAACAAGCGACTGACTTTTCAAAGACTTTGGGGATGACTCTTTGAAGTAATTTGCACTGAAATATCACAACCAGCAGCATCCTGGAACTTTTATTTTATCGTTGCTCTGCATTTAGTTTTTAAGGCCTAGAAGAGACTTCTGTAAATTCAAAGATAACTGGCATAAAAAATGTATACACTCAAAGATGGAAAATGTGTGGTTGCCTCTGCTCATATTGCAGTTTCATGTTGAAGTACCTTAAATACAGCACAAACACATTTTAAAGTGTAATCGGTGCATCTGCACACATTTGGATTTCGCTGGTTCGAAAATTCCCCGGTGTGGTGGATTCGTTTGAATTAAACGGTGTAGAGCAGCCCTGCACATATATGAATGTGTGATGCAGGGAGACACACATGAAAGAGAGGAACTGTTTCTAAAAAAAAACAGCGCTCAGACAAGAATTCTGTGGTATAGATGTGGGAGGCAGAGCGAAATCTTAAATGCACCCGCTGTTTAGAAATGACTGATCATGAGACCATCTGATGCAGACTGAAAAAATGTCAGTGCAGGGGTGTGTTTTTTTTTTTTTTTAATTATCAGGCTGGCATCTGCAAGATAAATGCCACAGCAGCAGCACAACAACAAGTCATTATATAAATTGATGACCTGACAGTTGTGACTTAAGAGTTCCATTTTATTGTGAAAAGCCTGGTGGTTCAAATTCAAATTAACTGCAATTACATCACAATTGCAAGTATAAGCCCAACGCATTAGGACTTTAAAATTTGATATTTCAACACCACAAGTCGAACATCTTACCATTTATCATTTCCCAGCTGACATGAGGCCTGTAAAGGACGTGAATGTGCCTGCACTTTTGAGCAAAATCACGCATCAACAATTCAGATTCATCACAGTGCTTACCATCACAATCCATCAGGCTCACACAATATTTCACTTTTTCAGAGCAGTCTTCTAACTGTTGAAAAATTCTGTGTATTTTTTGTCTTATCTTCTTGTATGTCTGAAGGATTTTTGTATCATCTGTATTATAAATTATAACTTTTTGTAACAATGGATTTGTAAAAAAAAACAAAAAACGTTTCATTTCTTTTCATAAAAGAAATAAATGATTCCTAAATGATTCACAGGCGTTTTCTCAGTTTATTTTCAATGTGTGCATATTGTTATATATGTGCTTTTATATAAGCGTGCCTGGGTGGGTTTCTAGTCGCGGTTGCATGAGAAATACTACAGCTCTGGAAGAAACACCACAGGAAGTCAGCCCCCTTGTCTCACATCTGGTAATGCCATTGGCCTAGATACAGACTTCTGCATGTCTCAAGACGGTTCCAGCACCACACAATGAACCTTTTATTTAAACATGAACTTTTTCATTCTCTCCTATTGGATCAAACCATGTGGGTGAGACGGACCCTCACCTCGCGCGGACCTGCTGTCCACACCTGTCATCGCTGAAACAGAAAAATACACAGACATCTGGCTTCAATGCTGAGCTGTACCCTCTGCAGAGAGCATGAACAGGCTGCTAATTCAACAAAAGTGTGTATATTTTCCTACATCATCTTGGACTAGGAATGAAAAAGACATTGTAGTGCCAATATCTGGCACAGGAATAACGTGTGACTTTAATTTGGTATTTTGGCTTATACACTGTGGAAATATTGCTTTTCAGTATGATTCATATAAACTAACACTGGCTAGCATGAAACCTCAATTGCTGGAGTATTACCAGGAAGTGAAAAAGTAAAGTACTTATGAGATTCTATTCAGGGACATAGGCTAAAACTTTTTACACCTTTCAGAGGAAGTTGATGCACAACGCAGCAACACACGAGTTAGCTTCTTGGAAACTGAAGTACGATAGATACAAATAGGAAATGTGTCACACTATATACTTGTTTCAGTTTTGCTTTGACCCTCAGTGACCCAAAGACATAAACATATCCTCAGTTAAAGAAACCACATGACACAGGGGTATACCTTTGATATGATTTGTATGGAAGCAGGTGTTTCTCCAGATGTTGGATGCATCCAAAAGTACACCAGCACTCACAGGTCATAAGATCAAGGAAATGTCCTGGCCCTCTGCTTCCTTCCTGCTGCTGTTTTTTTTTTAGACAAAGTAGACAGGTAGAGGTCGTAGAGGTCATCTGTCATGCCCAGAAAGGACAGTTAGGCTTGTAAACACAGATGTTCACGTGGCTCTGTGCTACAGCAGAACAAAGGCAAAGTAGTGGGATGTACATCATGATAATAATTTATAAAAGTGATTGTATAGCAGTGTGTGGAGCTGGCAGATAATTAAACTTGTCTAGGAGTGTTCGTTTTTCTGCCCCGAGGCTAACCCCACCCAATTCTTCTGACTGGAACAGCATGGAGTGAGGACAGAGTCACTGCTCAGTCAGGGAATTAGTGTTTGGTGCTGATTCAACGCTTGTCATATCTGATTTTTCATGACTGTTTGTGCTTTATCAGACATCTCGTTGACCCTCAGGCAGCCAAGATGTCATTTCTGTAGAGTTAATATTTGACTCAGATGGGAAATTTGGCTATAGGGTTCAACAAAACTTAATTTCATTGGAATGTATTCATAGAATTAAAGAAAGTAGGGCCTATTTCTGCATGACTCAAACTCATGACATGCATTTTGAGTCAGTGACAAAACGAGGGGAAAGAGTTTGTGCCGCCAGTGCAACCGTCTAATAGTTTGCATCTGGCGCCACCTTGTGTCTGTTTCCTAGAAGGCCTAGTAAAGTGTGCTGTGACCTAAAACGTATTTTCCAAAAAACCTTGTGTGTCAACATCTTTCTGGAGCAAGCATTTTCCTCTCGAGCTGCGACAGAAGGCTTACTGTACTCAATGTAATAAAGAAGCTATTCACAATTAAAAAATACTTTTTATTTTTTTTAGGAGGGGCGGGGGGAGAGATTTGACAAGCAAGACGAGCAAAGCAAACCAAAGTGGAGCCATTTTTTTTTTTTGTAGGATTTGGGGTGACGTGTTTCTTGAGCACTGTGTCATTCATTACACAAAAGCATTTAATCAATTTTATAAAACATATTGTATATTCGAACATCCCAATGTTATCTCCTTTCAGGTCCTAATCTATATTTTAGATATATTGTATAATATGGTGTCTGTACGTCACCGTGTCTTTATTTATGTTTTCTGCTCCAAACTAATTGCCCCAAGAGGGATTAATTAGTCCGGCTGGAGTAACTGAGTGTTTACTTTGCATTTGTCATCATACATTTTGCATTTACGTACCCTAGAGGCTTGCCTGGCAACTTCAACTCGTAAACAAAAAAACAAAAAAAAGTGGAGTGGACACATATGACATGATTAGCATGTTTGTGGCGTTTCCATCCTCAGTATCAGATTTGATTGACGTTAGCGCTACAGTTTTTGGCACCCCGCCAACAATTGCTTTCCTACACTCCGAGGACCCCCTTCACAATAAAAGCATGCCCGGTGAATCCGTCTTTCGCCGCCACTCAGCGTCAACGGAGGCGGGCTCGTGGCTGTTGAGCGGGGCTTTTATTGTGAAAGCGATAAGAGGCCGGTACAATGCTTAGTCACGGTGAGTTACAGCTTTCCCCCCTCCTCCCCACACCTCTCCTCCTCCTTCCTATGTGGCGCACAGCTCGGCACAGCGAGATGGAGGAATTGAACTAGACTACGTGAGTGTCTTTTATTGCAGATTTTTTACGCTCTGATGAATCTTTAAGGAACAACTACGATGTGAGTAGATGAAAGAGCGAGCTGCAGGCTTTCTGCAGGAGTGTGTTTATGTAGCGCTTTGTTGCCGTTTGTGTAGCTCGGTTCGGCTCGCAGTGGTTACGCTACTGTCTATTATTAGGAGACTATTTTGCTGTCAGCTCTGTTTCCGAAACGTTTTAACTTGTTATTATCCTTTCCTCCGGATGTTTTTTTTTTTTCATGCGTACACTCCATCGGGGAAAACTCTCGCGAAACCAAACACAGCATTATCATCTGCTTCACTAATGTTGTGGAGCATGCAAGGATAATTGTTGAGCAAAACAAGCGCAGACATGATGAACATAAGTGATTGCAGCCGAAGTGGAAACAGTGCTTTGTGTGTGTGTGTGTGTGTGTGTGTGTGTGTCTGTGAAAGCTGTTAATGTTGAGGAGATGGCGCGGAAATCTAATTCCATCTGGGTTTATGTAAGGACTGGCTTCACTTCTGGGTCATGTTTTGGTACAGCCAGTTCCACTGTTTGCTCGGTGAAGAGTTCAGGATGACTCACTGAGGAGAGATGCGTGCCAAAAAAAAAAAATGCCATGGAGCGAGTTCAACTCCACTATTTTGTTTGTTCACATTTTACTCTTCGTGTTTGAAAAGTTAAAATTTACTACTGTTGATGTGCAGCCAACTACTGCAGTGCTGACCCCGCGGTTCTCAAGCTGAGGTGCAGGGGGTCCATCAGGGGTCTTTGAAGGTCCTGCAGAGGAGTACTTCACTTTGTATCCTCACTCAGCACTGTGCGGGAGAGGATGCTTGTTTGCTTCGTCATATAACTGTCGGTATCACCATTCAGAAGTTAGCTCTACGTGCAGTTACCCTGCTAGTCCTTTTAGAGTTGTTTGAAGGATTGTCTGCAGTTTCTTTCTCTGCTTTAAATTAGATTATGTTAAAAGCACTGATATGCAATTTATTTCAACGAAAGGAAATGAGCTTTGCCTCGTCCTTGTGTAATCATCATGTTTCAAGTACAAATCCCAGATATTGTCTTCTTCATTTCCAGCTCCACAGTTGCGAGAATTTGTTGCTTTCTCAATTTGTAAAGTTAGTTTTAGACCACCAGAAATACATTTAAAGAGGTTCATGTCGATTTAACAAAATTGCGATATTTTTTTCGATTGATGGAGAAAACAATCTGTAGACGCCTCGACAAGTGAAAGTTGTTTTTCAGATGCAGATGTTGATTGGCTGATTTGGGTTATTAACACATTGGAGCCAGATGTGATGCATCGACATATAGCTACACTTCCAAGAGAAGGAACATCTCAATTTGGACTGCTCAATGAATTGCGTTTGAATTGTTGTCGCAGACTAAACATGTGGAGCACATCCATACTCTGCATGCAAACATTGGAGCTGTCAGATGCAGCCCTGGATATACAGACCAGATATCCGCCAGCTGACCTCAGAGTACGGAGATTGGTATCAACTTGGTGGCTGTGGCACGGTTAATGTAGCGTGAAGGCTTCGAGAGGAGAGCCAGGAATATGTGATTGACCTCGACCCCGTGTGTAAATATTCTATTTGGAAATATGTTTGGATAATGGAGAAGATCAGCGCCGTCGTTACGCCCTTGCACTTCCACATTGCCTCTGTGACGTCACTGTGGAACTCCAAAAGGATCGCTAGAGGCAGGGCGTCGAAAACCCACGCTGCGAGCTCCAGAACTCAGGCGTGCACACACACACACACACACACACACACACACAGGGGCTGCTCGCCGCCGCCGCAGCAGCTCTGACGTGACATATTTCCGGGCTCGTACCTCTGTCGCTATCTTGGTCTTGGTCGGCGGGTCATTGGTGCAATGACTTTGCCCCATCATTTCGCAATTGCGTATTACAAGCCGCGTGCAAGCTTGATTAACAAATAAGTTACTCAAGCTGTTTTCACACATGCACTCCCAAAAAAAAGTCTAGGAAATCTCAGGACAGCCCGCCGCTAAAATCTTCCCGAGTCGCCCTCGCAGATGTAGTTTTCCTCTTCAGTTTAACCCGGGGCAGGACGTTCTAAGGGCAAGACATGACATATACATGTGCAGCGGAAATCCAGGATGGCCGACAATGTGCTTCGTGTTATTGGACGTATCTTACTGTTTTGGTTTTGGTGAAATATTTGACTTTTTGCATTTACACAACATGCCACTGATCACAAAAGTGTCCTCCACCTTGCTGACAGTCATATCCTTCAAGCCCGATCCAGAAAGAAGCTTTATTATCATACAATACAAAGAGAAGCAGGGCATCAGTATTTAAGAAGCAACATTTGGAGATTTTGCTCAACTTAATAAAACGATTCACTTTCTGTCGGCCAAATTACTTTTTTCCTCTTATATCTTTTGGCTAATTTTAAAAACGAGCATCTGCTAAAAGGCTTGTTTGTTCAACTTTGCATTCAAACGGGGAACTCCTGCTTAAGTGTCTAAGTGAATCCCTCCTCCCTGTCATACCTGAAGCTGTTTCTGTGTCTACTTGAAACGTGAATGACCCGAGCCGAGCGGCAGCTGCACACACGAGTCAAGGAGCCTGTTTGTCAGCGAGCAGCTTTTCTGTCCTGCCTCTCCCGATTGAGCAATATGTTCTCCTGTGAAACTATTCTACCGAGAAACGTGGTGAGAGAAAAGCACAGCAGTAAACAGAAATTGACTGTGTTTCATATTACAGCGGGATTAACTGCTGGCTGACTGCTTTCATGAGGAGTTCACTGGTAACCATTGACGTGCCGCCATCTGTTGCTAAAACGACACTCAGACGTAATAAAGAATTCGTTTGTTTTAAATCACTGATTAAAAATGAGGTCACTTACTTCCAACACGTGGAACAGTAAGGTCATATAACCTGCCATGTGTGCTGCGTCCTCTTATCTCACCTCTTATCTCGCCTCCAGCCTATGCACAGGCTACGTGCACACAGCCTATGGGTGCTGTGTTATATAACTCTGTGAAGTGTTGCTGAGTAACTCTTCCAGACTGAAGAACCGCAGATGGACAACTAGCTCCTACTGACTGCTCTTTGTACTGTATGTCACTCGCAAGCAGCTCTTCATCTGTAAACAAAGACGACCAAAATGAGTCGTTATGTTGTATTTAACAGCGTCCATGTCAATCCTTTAAAACAACACAGCAAGTATGTGTTATCAGGTCCATCATCATAGCCATTTTCCGCTTCTTTCGTCAGCGACTGCAGGGGAATTCCTCAAGTGGGAGTTTTTTTTTCTTCCTGCATTTTCTTTAAATTGTGAGTGTGTGCTAGAAGTTTTGCTGCACAAACAGTTCCCTCTGCTGCAGCCTTCTTCTGGACTGGTCAGAGGACGGAGTCAAAAAAAAAAAAAAAAAAACCCTCAGCCAAGTTCAAGATTGATTTCAGTTACGCCATCATCCTTCAAAACAAACACTGAAGTCGTTGTAAATGTTTGATATGTGCGATACCGCGTGTTTTGTAAAATGATACAATCGCCGCTATTTTAATAATCGATGCTGTCGAAAATCTGAAAACTTCAGACTTCAGATTTGAGGTCATATATGTAAACACCAGCATGAGACAGATAGCGCCGTCTTAATTGCACAAATGTGAAAAGTTTTTGTGCAAATTACAGTGTGAGGTAGTTTGCCTAATTTTTTGATTTTTTTTAATGCTAATTAAAAACAACATTTTCCATAGTGGGTGCCTCCAACTTGTATTGTTGTTGCCATGGTATCTGAAAACGCTTCAATTTGATTTGGGTTTTACTAGAATAGTATCAAAGTTTAAAACTCTGGTATCGTCACAGCCACATTCCTTACTCACTTGATTCAATCGACACATTACTCATTTGTCCATTATTAGTCATCTTCTTCTTTTTTCCACTGTGCACATAAATCCTGTCTTGTTTGTTAAGTTTCATTTCATGTGTTAGAGAGGGACACCTGTAACTCAAAGTAGCACCGTCACTCACTCATTATGAGAATTGGAAAGCCTTGACCCGATGACCTGCACCAGGAAGCGTGCGCTCTGGGTGTGGAGGGCATGGTGACGGCGAGAACACGGCGTATCATCACGTAGATAAGCTTTTGTTGTGTAAGTCTAAAGAGAGCTGGGCGCGCGACAAAGCATGTGCCAGCGGCTGCAGGATTCGGGACCTGTACGTCATGACATGTTTGAAGTAGAGAATTTTAAACTTTGATACTCGTACTATTCAAACAGTATTGACACCTGTTGCAATATCAAGCGAACAGAAAGTCCTAGACACACAAGATTGGGTCATGTCTTTGTTTTGATTTACCCTCAAACTCACGCAATATCCTGCACACTTTCTTAATTACACAAACATTTGACCGTTGCCAATATATTTGTGCAATTTAGGTGGGGCCAACTCCTCTGCTCTTTTTTCAACTTTCTGAGATTTAAAATGAACTTGAGAAACATCAGTATTTGTTGACCTGTGAATTTGATTGGACCTGCTCTGCTCTCCCTCTCTCATTGCAGCTTTGGGTTAAAACATGACTGAAGAGCTGCATTTTGTTAAAAAGTTTTGATGCTTTTAATCACAGTTAATCATTAAAATAGTCATTATTTATAGATGTTATTGAAAAGTATTGTAGTATGGAGAAATTTGACAAACTTAGCTTTAATTATGTGACCACTGTCTCGCTCTAACTCTCTCTCTCTCTGTCTCTCTCTCTCTTTTTTTCTCCAGTTGTCAGCTGACCCAAGAGCTTCCTAGTAAACACAGCGGTGCAAACAAATTCCTTAACTGGGCAACCTTGAGGAAGGCGTCTCCGAGGAAAGCAACACCCCCCCCCCCACCCCCGCCCCTCTCCATTCCTCAGAGCTCCATGTTACACTTATGACACTTGTGGCACTTGACCCTGTTTTGTTTTTCTTTTTTCTTCCTTTTAGATACAACCATCTTCTTTTTTTTTTTTTCACTGCCTCACCAATAGAATCGAACTCTGCTGCACTCAGCAGAAGTGTAGCCCTCTAGAAAACAACACTGATGAATCTGGCAAGCGTTCAGGCTCATCGTCAAATGTGTTTTCTGATGAGCTGCTTCATTTAGAACTTTTCTGCAATTTAAAAAAAAAAAAAAAACTCCTCAAAGATGATTGCCTAGAAAAGAGACTGCTACTTTGTCAGAAAAACACACTTCTGTTGACGACACTAACGTCTTAAAAATACTACTTTAAGTGTTGTTCTCTTTTTCTTAAACCTTTTTCTACCATGTTAATCCTTTGACAACGGCAGACTTTGGAAAAACAGGCGTTTTCATTATGTTGGAACTACAAAATGACAACGTGGAACCTGCCAAAACTGCCTGCTCAAGGAGAGTTTCTCTAGCGATGCCATAATGAGCAACATGGCTGGACAAAAGCACTGAACGGAGCGAGGGAATCCTCATAAAGGTTAACTCAAACCACACACGCACGCAAAAACCTCTTCTCTAACTTTCACCCATGCCTGCGTCTGGTGCAAGGATGCCCCGTACCACTGCCCGCTGTTCTTGAGGAGGAGAGAGAGAAGGAGGAGTACAGGAAGGAAATGACAGAGTGCCTGACAGAATGCAAAGCGCTGGTGACTCCGTCCACGCGCAACGGCCACCGTGTCTTCAGCTACACGTTAGAGAGTCACACGGCGGCCGCGTTCGCCATCATGAACGAGCTGCGTCTGGAGCGGCAGCTGTGCGACGTCACGCTGCGTGTGCGCTACAAAGACCTGGAGGCGGTGGACTTCGTGGCTCACAAGGTGGTGCTGGCCTCCTCGTCCCCGGTCTTCAGGGCCATGTTCACCAACGGCCTGAAGGAGTGCGGTATGGAGCTGGTGCCCATCGAGGGGATACATCCCAGGGTGAGTCGAGATGTTGTCTGTCAAGGTGTTTGAATGTGTCCTTACATTGGAGACGCCATGATTACGATCACAGGGTTTTTAAATATATTACAGAAAAAATAAGCGACGAACAAAAAGCGAAACTGGTGGAACTTTTCTGGTTCTTCAGCCAGCCCGTCTGAGGGTCGCCATCAATCGGAGCGAGGTTTCCCGCTCGCTCCTTTTCTTCCACGGCTGGGGTGTTGCAGGCGGCATCGGGCGCCTTCGTCCCCTTAAGTACCGACGAAAGATGGCGTGGTTTTCTGTCACCATTAGACGAGTGATTTAATGCCTTGGATTATCATTACAGATACAAAATATTTTCTGATGTCATCCCGAGGAAGTTAGGATGAAAACGATATTATAGAAGTCAATGAGAATAAATGTAATAAGAAAATAGAGAAATAAGAAAATTGAAGCTGGGTTAACCAACAGAAGTGAAGATCAGAGCAAGAAGAGGAGGCTCTACTTCTTAATCTGTAATAGACTGAGGAAACAACAGGGCAGCAGAGATCATTATGTAACACCTACAGGCGACTAATAAATGCCACTTGCCGCTTATTAAATGTGTCACAGTCATACTGTTTGAATGGCAAGTGCTGCCTAATAAACACGGCGTGGCTCTTATTAAACACCTCGTCGTGTTTCAACAACATGTGGCTTCTAAGGAGCACATGGACGCGGGAAACGGGGACACATTGGGACACTACAGTAGCCTTCTTTTGGGACTTCTTTTTTGGGGGGGGGGGGTCTTTTTCTCCCAAGCTTTCTGCTCTGGTCACGACTGCTCAATGAAACCACCTTTTGAAATGTTGTGTAATCTTCTCTGCTGCCACCCCGTATGTTTGACTTTTCCACGAGCAGCCTGACAGGAGACAGCTCCGCTATGTGCTCATGCATATGAGCGGGGTGCAGACTTTTTTACTGTGACTGTGTAAAAATGTTTTCACAATCAAAAGACAAACAATAGCGTTGAAACATGAGTGTCGGGTTAACATATGACGTGAAGTAAGGCCCGACCGATGTGGGATTTTTGGGGCCGATACCAATATCGATATTGGGGAGGAATAAAAAATCAGAAACCGATATATCAGCCGATATCTTTCTTAGATCCATATTGGATCTGTAAAAATAGATTTATTGCAACACATTTATTGCATTGGTGCCTTTAAATTTGGTTATCAAACACTTGTGGAAAAGATATATAACGTAGACAGGATGGTTATTCTACTGGAAAGTAACTGCTCATGTACATCACTGCTTGACACTCTTCTGCAGAGTGATGATGCTTGTTGTATTCCATATAGCGCCCTCTGCTGGTGATAGCCAGAAAGAGAACTGCTGGAGTAATTCAATGAAACTCAATCGAAATGCTTTTTGACTGGTGAATAAATCGAGTGATATCGGCGCATTTCTGCGATAAAAGTAGCCGATACCGATAGTCACTTTATGTGCGAATATCGGCCGATATTATCCACTGGCCCATTAATCGGTCGGGCTCTCATGTTAAAGTTAATACAAGAGATTTTTGTGGCACTGAATTTCAAAAAGCAACAATAGTTAGCCGCAGATTAAATGACTGAATATTGTTCTTCTTTTCTCTTCCTTAAACTTTCTTCTGATGTGTTCTTTTCTCTTCGTCCCCGCCTCCCTCACCTCGCGTCACTCAGGTCATGGACCGACTGATAGAGTTCGCCTACACGGCCAGCATTTCTGTGGGAGAGAAGTGTGTGATTCACGTGATGAACGGCGCCGTCATGTACCAGATAGACAGCGTGGTCAAGGCCTGCTGCGATTTCCTCGTCACGCAGCTCGACCCCAGCAACGCCATCGGCATCGCCAACTTCGCTGAGCAGATCGGTTGCACAGAGCTGCACCAGAAGGCCCGCGAGTACATCTACATGAACTTCAGCCAGGTGAGGAAGCATTGTTGATGGATCTTGTTTGGTTTGGTGTTTTTTTTTTTTTTTCATTGATGTGTGACGGCGGAGAAACAGATGTGAGGTCTGCAGAGGTAGAGCGATAAGTCTATCTCAAATTTTAGGCCATACTCTCCCAATAATCGGTTTTAAAAAGTCCCAAGCAGGAGATGGAGCTTGGCTAGCTGCCGGCTCTAAGTGCTGTGTTATCGTTAGTCAGAAGCTGTTGAGTTTTCTGTGAATATTTATGAAACCCTTTAGCGGCTGTTCTAGCTGTGAGACATGACGCGGGGACACCTCACATCTTCTTCAAAAATAACAACCATTAATTCACCTGAAGACTGTAAACACTCATTATGAAAGTTTGAGCAGCAAAAAATATTTTAATCACGAGTAATTGCATGCTTTTTTGTCCCTGTAGTCATAGTGATGGAATAGAATGACACTGCGCCTCATTTCACTTTAAAAACTTCAGGTGATAACCACCTGATGACATCACACATTTCACTTTGTTACCGTTCCTTTGAGCCGTTTTTCATTCAGTTAACACGTTTCTTTTTTTTAGTTAATGTCGTAACCTTCCATCTACTAGGAGGTCCTAACTTTATTTCAAAATAAAAGAAGGGTTGAGTTAAAACAGCAAATAAAGTACTCGGGTTATCACAATACAAAAATTCAAAATAAAAGCTTGACAATTTTTTATTTTAATGCGAAATAAAGGAATTTCAAACAAGCGATTAATAATGGGATTAATCTCAATAAACTTTTGAATTTTTTTGATTAATTGCGAATAAAAAAAATGCAATCGTTTGTCAGTCGTTTAGTTTCCACACAAACACTCCTGAAAATGTCAAGAAGGTGTCGGAGAGCCTGCTCCTGAAATCTTCCTGGGTATCTTACTAACATATGTCCGTCACATTATGAACTTTTCTCTGTCTGGACGGGAGAGAGGGAGACGGAGTCCGACTCTTTACTCAGAGTGTTTTGCCTTTATATCAGTGTTAAGTGTAATTGGACATATTCACAGTATCAGCGAGCGAGTTTAAAAGATCATACTAGCGAGCAGGAAACAGTGTGAGGCTGCTTCATGAACGTGCCTGCTCACCATCACCCCCGCCCACACGCCCTGAGTCAAATCTTCTGATTCTTTCCTGCTGCGTTCACACATAAGCTCACGCGACATGACAGAGATATTTTATTCGGGCTGGCAGGAAAAAAGTCGGGTTGTAAATTTTGTCTGTATGCGTTCACACATGCAGCTCACCCCAAAGGTTTAAATGAATGTATCTTCACTGATCATAACTTAAAAAATAATCCAAACTCTTCTATTAGAAGTCAGCATTAAGTCATTGTTGTAACGGGGGAGTTGTGTTGAACGTGTGTCACGGCACGCTGTGAGTAAAAACAATGTTTCACTTGTTCCTTTGTGGTTTCTGCTGGTTTACTTTTTTCCGCTTCAGGCCTGCTCACAACAGGCATTTCTGTGATGACTGATGAATGCCAGTCATGAGTCATGATGAGAGTTTACCTGAGCTCTGAGCTTCTCCTCACTGAAGAAGAGAACAGCAGTAGAGGCTCAAAAAGGAGTGAAACGGTGCTCCTTAATGATCGTGATCATCCCTGATGAACTGATCGATAACAAACCGACAGATTCGTCATCTCAGGGAGTCACAGATGTGTCACCCATCAGCTGCTCAGTTATTTCCAAATGTAGTGAAAGTCACGAGTCGTCTGTTTACTTGAAGCCCTTCAGACATTTTGTAGTTTTCTACTTAAAAGGAACTTAAAAGGAACATTTTGTGTTTGTGAATTTACCAAACAAGCCTCCATGATTTAAGCTAAAAATGAAATGAGACTCTGGAGGCACAAAGTCAGATGTTCTTATTGTTCAGTGTGTTAAAGTCTGAAGCGTTGTCTCTGTGCTGTCTCATGAATAATCTCAGTGTTTAATGTTCACAGTGACGCACAGACTTTTTATTTACTTGACTCTGCGTTGTTAAACTTGCTTCGGTTACTCTTTAATGACGGTATGGTTACTTTTTGATCAAAAAGATATCACAGCTGTTGTCATGGCGCTGAAGTGTTTAGTTAATTATTCACTTATTGATCAAAAGTAACTCTGGAACAATATGAAGCATAACGGTCTAAAATGTGTTTCCTCCAGCCTGATTCTGGGCTTCTGGGGAACTGAATATAATAAATACTATTGTCTCTGTCTATTTAAGTGTTACAGATAGAACAGATGTTATTGTATAGTACAGATAGTTTTGTTAAGAATGAATAAGATTAAAAACCTGTATGCATGGCATCCAGTAGCGGAGCGAGTGTAGGGGCAGAAGGTGCGGCCGCCCCGGGCCCACTGTTGTCTCAAGGGGCCCACTTTGAGCTGTGACTTTGACATTAAAAATGTCATTGATTCCACCTCTTAGCACCCCCTTTGCTGGGCCCCCTGCTGCTGTCTGGAGTTTTAAAAACCTAGTCGTCTGTCTGCTTTATTTCTGTTTACCTCGCAGTTTTTCGTAACATTAAAAGTGTAAAAAACTAAATAAAAAATGTTTTCTCATTGACAACTCAGCCCTCAACAACTCAACCTGGTGAGTCTCCTCCCGTTGCTAGCTCCACTAACGTAAACAGCAAATAAACATGTTAGGAGGAGCACCCAGCTAGCTGCAGGAAAGCAACAGTGCTGATGAAAACTTAATTGGTAAATTGTTTCATTATTATTTGAGATTCCACTTAGATGCTGTTCTTTTGTTTGTGGGTGCGTGTGTTGTAGACCGCCCTGTGTCTGCTTGGTTATCGTACTGTATGAACGGCAGGCCATTGCTGTCACACTGTTTACAAAGTTTGTTGTCGTGTGTGGGTTGATAATGTGGGTTTTATTGTCTGTGTGGCTGTGTGGCTGAATGTTAAACTGTAGTTGCCTTCTATCTTTGGTTTCCCGTCCGGCTAATAAAGTCTGCTTTACTTGTTTAATCGGTGGAATATGCGCACAGACATATCAGCACTTGTTCTGCTTAAATATCAGCATCACTCACTGATAAGTCCCTGTCACTGTAATAACACCCTTTGTAATCTGCAGCAGCATTTCTCTTGGTCTCGCCCCGTCTTGTATCTCCATACAGCCGATATTATACCATAAATGCTATACTATATTACTATATAGGCTACAGCATGTGCGATATAGCCTATAGACAGTTTAAGGGCCCACTATTGGTCCCCGCCCCCTCTGCAATGAGCCATAGGCTCCGTGCCTGATGGGATCTACTTTGAGATATCACTTTAGATATCACTCAATGTTTATAACATGGAAAAAAAAAATACAATATGAACGATATTAATATTAAAAGGAAATTCTGGTTCCAGCTTACGTGCTGCAGAAAGTATGAAGTGTACAGTATGAATGTTAAAAGTGTCACTTTGGGTTTAAGGAATTTTAGATTGTGGACAAGTTCTTCATGGTAAAGGGACTTGAGCTTGTAGCGTTCTTTGGTCTTCTGTCTACTTAAAGCACTTTAACACCACATGTCACACCTACGCATTCACACCCTGATGGCAGTGGCTGCTATGTGTTCATAGCAACCCCTCATTTTTTAAGTCACACTCTTGAATCCAAACCTGCGGTTTTCAATCACTCATTTGGCTCTTGTTTTTTTATTTTTTTTATTTTTTTTGCCTCTACTTGATAGGACAGTTGATAAAGAAGGAAATCAGGAGAGTAGAAATGACATGCGGGAAAGAGAGCCACAGGTCTGACTTGAACCCGGGCCGCCTGCTTGTAGGACTGTAGCCTCCATAGATGGCACACGACCTTACCGCTAGGCCATCAGCGCCCCATTTGGCTCATTTTTTGTATATTTTTTTAGTCTTTTTTACATTTGTATGCACTATATACAAATATACATTTGTATTTTTACTGATTGATCCACTCTAGGCACATGGATTTTAAAAAGTTGTTTCCTCCATGCTCCTTCTCTGTAGGTGGCGACCCAGGAGGAGTTCTTCAACTTGTCCCACTGCCAGCTGGTCACTCTGATCAGCCGCGACGAGCTCAACGTACGCTGTGAGTCCGAGGTCTTCCAGGCATGCGTGGCCTGGGTGCGCTACGACCGGGAGAACCGGCGACCGTACGTCCAGGCCTTACTACAGGCTGTCCGCTGCCATTCCCTCACACCCAACTTCCTGCAGGCCCAGCTCCAGTCTCTGGACTGGGACCCCCAGTGTAAAGACTACCTGGCCCAGATCTTCCAGGACCTCACCCTCCACAAACCCACCAAAGTCATTTCCTGCCGAACACCCAAGGTGCCACAGCTCATCTACACAGCGGGGGGTTATTTCCGCCAATCTCTCAGCTACCTGGAGGCGTACAACCCCTGCACAGGAGCCTGGCTGAGGCTGGCTGACCTGCAGGTTCCCCGCAGCGGCCTGGCAGCCAGTGTGATCAGCGGGCTTTTCTACGCCGTCGGAGGAAGAAACAACGCGCCTGATGGCAACATGGACTCAAACGCATTGGACTGCTACAACCCCATGAACAACTGCTGGCTGCCATGTGCGCCCATGAGCGTTCCCAGGAACCGAATCGGAGTGGGTGTCATCGACGGCATGATATATGCCGTTGGCGGCTCACATGGATGCATTCATCACAACAGTGTTGAAAGGTGAGCAGAGGGAGTTTCAGTTTTCATTTAATCTTAAACAATTTCCCTGAAGAGACTCAAGCCAATCCATTGTGCTGACAAATGAATAGCGAGTTACTGCAGCCTGATTCACTCCAGATAATTTCCTTAACAAGCAACAGGAAGTCCTACTCTAAAAGTGATGCAGGTTTGCTTTGATTTATGTCGGGTTGTTTTAAATCTGAATGAATTGAGATTTATTTGACTGTCAATACGTCTGTGTTTCTGAGCTTTGGCAGAGTGTGCTCTGTGTCCTGAGAATATTTATATACAGGCTGGTCTGTTTACTTTATTTAGTCAATGAATAACCCAAGAGCAGGAATCAGGTAACTTCCTGGAAACTAAAAGGTTTTGTTCCACTTCCTGTAATATATTTTTGGCACGCAGAAAAGCTTCAACACGGAAGATTTAATTTTCGGTGTCAACGCAGTAAATCAAGTGATGATTGTTCTCTGTGGCTCTAGTATCACAACCTACCTTACTCATCAGGTGGAAAATGTTTTATTAGTTTCTACATGTACATGTATTTGTCCTGCTGTGAAGGCGCGTGTCAAACCCACCTAAACGAGGGGTCCTGGCTCAATCTTTAACCTGACCGGTCATCTGAACTACAGCATATTATGTAAATTATCAGGATTTAAGGTTGAAGATTTACCCTCACTCTGACTTTGGTCCTATGGTGACGCAGACAGAAGCTCTGACAAATATTAACCATACCTAACCGGCCTGAATACTGATGTAATGACTCATGAGCAGAGATGTGACTTTTCAGTGTTGCGCTGTCACAGGATGCAGATGTTAGAAATGTGACCAAAATAACAACAGTTAAATTCCCAGTAACAGGATCTCTTAAGCCTGGCGCACACTGTGGGAGTTTTAAGATCCTTCCTGCTTTTTAATTCGGGTAGCTTCACACACTTCAGGGAGAATCCTAACAGATATTCTTCTCCATAATCTCAACACGTGCTACACACTACAAGATATGAACATCTTAGCACAGCACAAACTACAGGATTTCATAAAGATTATCGTGCCAGACGGAGGTATGCGCCACCTCACCTGACCTCACTTAAACGATGGATTGTTGGATCTGCGATTAAAATGTTTTGTGCAGAGAGGACAAAACTTTAAAAAAATTGATAAACAAGTTTTGGGTGACGTGGACAACATGGATTGTAAATTCTTCAGTGTGAGCTGGAGGTAAGGTTGTAACGGTCAAATGCATTACTGTTGTCCAGCGCACCTGTGTGGTGCCAGTCGACACTGCTGTCCACTTATTACCGTCCTCCCTCGTCTCTCTCGTGGTTATTGTAGTCACACACACACGACTTCTGCCAGATCCTTTCATGATGTAATCGGTCAAGGTTTGAAAAATAGAGTGTGCGCCCCATGTATGAAGGCTGTAGTCCCTCGAGCGGGCGGCCCGGCTTTGAATCTGACCTGTGGCTCCTTTCCCGCATGTCATTATCATCTCTCTCTCTCTCTGATTTATGACTCTATCCACTGTCCTATCTCTACAATAAAAGCACAAAAAGCCAAAAAATAAATCTTAAAAAAAAAAGATTTTAAATTCTCAACATAAAACATGTTTTAAATAAATCGGGGCGTCCCCAACAATCTCCGAACAGATCGGGGACGTTAAGATTGGATCTTTATTCAGCTCACACTACGAGATAATCTGGGCAGACGATCGGTTCCGAGTCGGCGAGGACCTTGCAGTTGTTTAGAAGGATGAATCAACTCGATTATCCTGCAGTCTGAGACAGGCTTTAGACATGTTAGTGGATGGGATGCTATAACGGAGTTGTGTTATTTACTCCTTCTTATAACTTGGTTGTCTGCACAGAGAGGGATGAAATTGATGATAGTGGGGACTGCTCATCATTGACACCTTCTCATCAAAACCTTGAAACTTTAGTTTTGATTTTCTTCAAATGAGCAATAAAAAAGTGAAATAGATCCTAAAAATAGAAAATAATCAAACCTTCATTATTCTGTTCTCTGCAGGTATGATCCAGAAAAGGACCAGTGGCACTTGGTAGCTCCTATGTTGACACGCCGTATCGGTGTGGGAGTGGCTGTCATCAACCGGCTGCTTTACGCTGTCGGGGGTTTCGACGGCGCCAACCGGCTCAGCTCCTGTGAGTGTTACAACCCGGAGAGGGACGAATGGAAGACCATGGCCCCCATGAACACCGTGCGCTCTGGAGCAGGTAAGGGTATAAAAAAACAACTTTGCCGATTGTCGGTTCTGATACCAATGTTCTGATACCAATGTTTTCTTCATTACTTCTTTGTCATTCTTGGTGTCAGTTTTCCAAATGAGCTGTGATTAGATTCATTTAAATTCTTCTGCCCGATATAAAAAAAAAACTTCTCTAAGCCAGCAGTTAGGTGTATTAGCATGCATTCATTAAATTGATGCAAGACAACAGGTAAACATCAACTACTGGCAACAGTTCCACGTTATTTGCTGATTGGCTGTGAACCGGGTCGATTGTGGCTGATACTGATGTTCATCTCATGTATCAGTGTATCCCTCCAGACGAGGCAGACCTTTTACAGCTGCTTTAACTGTCCCTCTAATTTAATCAATGAGATGAAATGCAGGATTTAAATGGTTAAGACTCTTTCTCTATAACTGAAACATTAATGTCTAGAATCTCATCTCATGTTGTGCCCTGTGGAACACCACAAAGTGGTTCAATAAGTCATTTAAATCATCTGAACAGACTCTTATTTCTTAAGCAAAATGTAAATCCTATCGATTAATGATTCATTAAACTCAGTACAAATTATATTTTGACAGTTTTTAAGTGTCAATGATTGATATAATTCTACTAAAACACAGTTTTTGCCTCAACAGCAGCCTAACAAAGCTATTAAAACAGTTAACAATTCATCTTTAATTATTCTGTTGAGTGTCTGGTCGAACCGCAGGATCCACCACCAACTCCTTCATGAAAAATGGCAACCTGATATTTGTCAATCAACCAGATTTATTGAAGGGAAAAATGTTCAGTTTGGACCTCAGATGGTACAAAGTGTGATAAAACAAAGAAACAATCTTGTTAAAAAAGCACTTCACAGACTTTTTGCCACAGTTTATTTGTTCTTCCAAGCACATCTTCACGACCTACTGAAAACAGCTCCGAGACCCACTTTTGGGTCCCGACCCACCAGTTGAGAACCCCTGATCTAGAGTGTAACATGACTGGTTACTGCACCATTCAGTCACTCAATGCTTGTTTCTGTGCTTTCAGGATGTTGCTCCAGCTCACATTAAAGTAATCTAAGACTTGTATAAACTCATGTTTGATCTCGTGTAGGCGTCTGCTCACTGGGAAACCACATCTTTGTGATGGGCGGATACGACGGGACCAACCAGCTGAACACAGTGGAGCGCTATGATGTGGAGACGGATACGTGGAGCTCTGCTGCCTCCATGAGGCACAGACGCAGTGCTCTGGGAGTCACTGCACTACATGGACGCATTTATGTGCTGGGTGAGTGGTAGGACGGCTGAAAACTGACTATTAAGAGTTACAGCAGCAAGCTGAAGTCATGTATAATAACACATTTACATTTAGACACATACTCCATTTAGTTCATTATGTTGTATGGTACTACAGACTTATAAATATAAGTCACTTTTCTAATAATAAAAGCATTCTGATGAAGCAAAGCTCTGATTTTTAAAAAGCACTTTAAATGAAAAAAGAGTACTGCAGGCTGTCATGTAGAAAGCTGCATCATTTAAATGCACATCGTGTAAATTCCAGGGGGCTCTCGATCAAAACAATCACAAAACATGACGCTGAGGCTGGCGGCGAATCATGGGAGTTCTCTCTGCTACTCTGAAAAGATGAAGCTATTTTGTATTACACAGTGATGATACATGGTTTCATGGATTAAATGCATTATGAACTGGGATCCGTTCAGCACTACCATCTAGTTGCATTGTGGGTAATGCAAGCAAAAACTGTTAATGCGTTTTTTGATTACCGGGTATAAAGAAGATAATGAATGTTGTTTTGCTATTTTTTTGTAGTCCATCATGAGAGCCACAATGTCACAAGAGTTCAGTGTTTAATGGGTGTCATCCTCTTTTATTCAAATATACTAATCGGACAAAATGTTGTGTTTGCAGGAGGTTATGATGGCACCACGTTCCTGGACAGCGTGGAGTGCTACGACCCAGAGAACGACACCTGGTCTGAGGTCACTCACATGACTTCAGGGCGAAGCGGCGTGGGCGTAGCCGTTACCATGGAGCCGTGCCAGAAAGAACTGCCGCCGTGTCAGAGTTCTGAAAGGGAAAACGGAGCCGCCTCACCAGCCTATCAGTCCTTAAACTCCAGCTTCAGCTCGCACCACAGTCAGCGGCACAGCGGGTCCTTCAGCTCATGAGGCTCATCATATATACACACACACACACACACACACACACACACACACACACACACACACACACACGAAATGAACAAATGAGCAATCAGAACGCCACTCTGTTCTTCCAAATTCAAATTAAAGACCCTCACATTATGATTAGAGACAGAGGTGACCACTCATGATTGCCTCAGTGATTCAGGGGTTCACAGTTAAAGCAAATTTCCAAAAAATCAGAAACACTTTATTTGAAAGATGCCGTGTGGATTGTAATGTCAAGACAAAAATAAATTTAAATATCCACATTTAAGGTCCTTGTACATCCCATGTGACACCAGAATCTAAAGCAAAGTTTTCAAGACATGAATCAGTTCATTTGGATCTAGTAAGTGGTGTTCGGCCAAATTTGAAAGACCTCAGTCTGTGAGGTTGACGTCCACAGTTGGAGCATCATCTCCCAGGTTAGAGCCATGGGAGGAAAGGGCTGCAGAATAAATTTTAAAAAAGGGGTGGGGCCATTTACTGGCTCTAAGAGTCATCAAGGGCTCGTTTTACTTGCAGAGCAAACACATGTAGAAGTAAAAATCTGCGGGGAGGAAAAATCGATCAATTACGGTTGTCAGCATAGGCCGTAGATTTCAAAGTGCCATTACAATGCCCGTGGGCATTACCGTCAGCAGTATATTGACCTGAGGGGCTCTGAAGGAGCGGCACAGACAGACAGTGTGTGGGGGGGGGGGACACTTGGAAACCCAGAGAGCCACGCGTTGAAGCTTCAGGATGACGATGGGCCTCATGCAAGAACATTCAGTGGAAGCTTCTTTATAAAAGTCAGATTGATCAAACTTACCAACTTCACAGATGTGTTTTTGAAGTTCGAGTGCCACCTGTTCACGAGCAGGTTGCATTATTTGGAAATTCAGAGCCGCAGTAATCCCTGTTAAAGGCCACTTCCTTATTCAACCAAGTTGCTTTCACAACGTTCTCTTTTGCTCTTGGCAACATTTGAATTCACTCCTACATCAAGTTGAGATAAAAATCTATCCACACAGTACAAATTGTTCTTTTGCATGAGGCTCAAAGTCCAAGTGTTGGTACAGGAGAATCAGGACCTGAAAGTAACAAATGTGTCCTTTACTAATATCCACTGGTAGGTTCATGGAAATGTTTTTATTTTTGGTAAAGGTGTTGGCCAGATATTGAGTGTTGGCTCTTATGAAGCGAACAGGAAGTCTGGTCTTGTGTCGTTGCTTTGTTGGGGTGCCAAGTGGATGTTAAACGGGTTTCGACCGTGTTTAGAGTTAAGGGAATACTGTAGCATTTAAATAACCTCACTGAATGTGTTTGACAAAAACACTCATCACTCACACAACCTGCAGCCCCCTACCTACAGCTGACTCTCTTCCTCCAGACCTCAGAAACAGAAGTGACCATGTTTGTGCATTAGTGTTCAGATATATTGTAAGCTAATGACAACGAACTCGCTTAAAGAAGTGTATTTGTAACAGCAATTTAAGCTACAATGGTTTTTAAGTGATGTTTTTGTACATTGATATTCTAAGAAGTCTTGTACAGAATTTCAGAGCTCACTTTTTTATTTATTTTTTCGGATCCTTTTTTTTTTTGTTTGTGTTCTCGTTTCCCTGAACTGACATCAGCTTTGTATTGAATTGGACTCTGGTGTTGTGTGTTTTTTGAACAACTAGCATGCATTGTGACTAAGTAGGAATGCTTGTTAATGCTCATTTTGGATGTTTGTAAAAAACAAAACAAAAAAAAAATGTTTCACTTTGAAAGGGACTGTTTTTTTTCTTGTCCATCAGTAGTCGGAATGAAATTTAGAATATTTAAGATCTGCTTTGTACATTTTTTTTTCCAGCAAAAATACCCTGTACAATAATACATCATAAAGTAAAATATATGTTTATTTTGCTGATGAAGTCATGTAATGTTTTGTTTAAATCCGATCTGTAGAGTTTTTTTATAATAATTACAGCCCATAATCTCATGGATATGTCTTCTTTAGTAAAGCCTCTCTGCCACTAGATGGAGCTGTGGCTCCGTCATACTGAACAAACCTCACTCTCTTACTGCAGCGTGGATTATCATCGTGTTAAAATGAACAGGTCTGTGTTTACAACTTAATCTGTAGATGTCAATATGCCTAGGCATATTTCAATTTCTTAATTTTTCCTTCAGTAAGTGTGAACTTGAAATGATCTTTGACCAGCAACCATTATTATAAATCAAAGAAAGCTCTCTCATGGACTTAGAAAACGATCCACATGCAGTCCAGTCTTATAGTAAAAAAATAAATTATTTCAGATAATACTAATAATACATTTATTTGTATAGCGCTTTACATAGCCTACAATTAAAAGCCAATAGGCAACAGTTAATGGAGCATAACACATGGAGATAAAACCACAACAAAACCGTAAAATCAATAAATAGATAGTCTTAAATAGTGAGTTTTTAAAAGAAGACAGTTTGCTTCCCTGATCTCCTCCGGCAGGTCAGTCCTCAGCCTATAGGAGCCCGGACAGAGAAGACTCGGTCACCTTCAGTGGGTGCGTTACTAAAGATTGTATCACACTAGTTAATTAATGTCATAAACACATGTCTGTATATTCAAATGGCAACTTCCACATGACCTGACAGTAAATATATCGCTGTCCACTCATTAGATAAGCACTGATTAGATTAGACTTGCACAATCTCTTATCTTTGAATCTGAGTCTCTATCTCATCTTGTTTTATAAGATAAGCCTCTGCTAAGCCTCAGTATGGAAATTCAGTTTTTGCAGCAGCAAATGGTGAGACAGAAGAAACCACATATGGGATATAAGAGGGAACAAATAAGTGTCATTAGAAAGTCTACAAATGAAAGCAGACTTTAGATTGATGTGATATTGAAACCTAATATTAAGAGCATTCTCTATTAATACAGTATTATACATTTTATATTTAGTAGCCTATGCATTACAAAAAAATAATAAAATCGTTAAAAGAGACATTTGATATAGTAGGCTATAAGGTGAAATGAAGTGATGAGGCACAGCTTCTCCTTTTATCCTGCTTAAAAACGTTATACTCAAACTGTCTAAAGACGGAGAGAGAGAGAACACCTGACATCCTGACAGAGCTGATGGGATATAGTAAGGCATGCCATGGCAGCATAAAGTGGCTTTATGTTCTGTACAGTAAGCGCTCATGGGAGCTTCAATACCTCGAACAGGATGGGTTTATTTTAAAAATCTTCTCCGGATGTCTCGCGCTGTTTCCTGTTACCTTGACACCGGTGTGCTCGCGAGTCCCTGCGGGCACCAGAGGATCCTGTGCGCAGGACGCAGGTAAGAAAAACTCACCTGGTTAAAGCTGAATACAGAGATTCATTATTATTAGCCTATACAGTTCAGTTCAGTTCATGGTGATACTTTAGTGAAAAGCAGAAACTTGTTTTAAAGAGATAAAAAGTTGAAATGAACATGTGACGCTGCAGGGTTGTAGTATTTGGCACGCCTTTTCAGGAGGTGCTGTTTAAGTCTTACATTATTCAAAAACTAGTGAAAGTGTTTTAAAAGACGATGACATTTTAGCAAACTGTTAGCCTTGACTTGCATTATTATTATTTATTCTCAGCATTAGGCTTACTTTTTTTTTTTTTTTTTGGAACATTTTATAATGAACTTTATCAGAAGTCGGCCAATTGACTAATTCAGAGTCGGCTCTTTGTGTTATTTAAGGACGTGTTACGTAATTTTACCAAATTCCTCATACTAGGGAGGTTAACTCAACTCTTTCCTGAATGAGTTATCTTCTTTTGTCAAAACATTGCTGTCGAAACTAGTCTATCCACTTTGGATCCACCTACAGTCCAGGACTTGTTCATTTAGTCAAGGCCAGAAACTCCTGACATACAAGTCAGTGTTTACATATTGTAACCAGATAGTTCTGTATTTTTTCCCAGTCAGCACATCAATTTTCTTTTTTTTGTAATGTAATTTTAAACCCTTTTGACAAGATGTTCCTTAGATACTGCTCTGTGTTGTTTTAGCCTCCAGGGTTCACTCTTGTCTTTCAGCAGTGTGGAGAAAGAGCCAGGATGATCCCAGTTGGAGAATTGAGAAATTTCGGCATAGAGCAGAACTCAAAGTTTCGGGTCCTGAAGCCTTGGTGGGATGTTTTCTCGGAGTACCTGTGCGTTGCTATGCTCATGATTGGAGTCTTTGGGTGCACTTTGCAGGTAATGCGCCTACAAGCCAGCCACTCTTTTAACATAACATTTACTATTCAGTAATAACTTGACCTGTCTGAGGAGGATAAAAGGTTGCGCTGTATGTCTCTGTTGTAGTTCCCTCTCTGTCTTACATTAACAGACCTCTGAGTCAAGCCACATTCCAGTCACTGAAACTGAACTAACTTGCTTCTCCTGACCCACCTAGATTCAGATCACTAACTTGCTGCTTTATTTGTGCTCTCACCACCAGAGTTTAAACCCTGAGCTACATTGAAATAGCACAAAAAGTGAGCAAATGGATTAATTAATGAATCACACATTCACTTGTTTTATTAACACGACTCTAGAGTGTGGAGACTGTGACTGAGAAACGTTTTAGTGTTGATTTGGTAAAGAACAAAATCAGAACTGTATCATATATCATAAACCTTATGTCAAATTCATTCCAGAACAACTGTTAAGTTTGGAGATATTTTTATTTCCTTTGTATACAAATCCAATTAATCAGAATCAGAATCAGAATCGGGTTTTATTGCCAAGTACATTTACACATACAAGGAATTTGACTTGGTGTACTGGTGCTTAACAATTAACAAGGAAATAAAGCAGAACTAGCAACAGCTTAAATAATACAGTATAAGAAGCTATTACAATATATAAAATTAAATTAAAAAATGTAAAATATAAAAAATAAAAAACACAAAAAGTACAAAAGGTGCAATGTAGGAGCTGTGCAGTGGACTATGAGAAAAACATCTTGCAGTGTATGTAACCTACTCACAGAGTGCATGTAAGAAAATACATTTGAAGTCCAGTGGGCTTTAATGTAAATCATAAAGAACAGTTTCAGCAATTAAAAGACAAAAACCAACAACGAAAATGTATTTTTAAAGGTTCAATCCTGCTCACTAGAGAAGAGGAATATTCTCTACAAATGTCTGTTTAAAATGAGTAAATATGTTTTTGTTAGATGAAAGGCAAACCAAAGAAACGGTGTGTACATGAGCCACCATTAAAAAAAAACATTCTTCTTCTTATTTTACATTTAGTGTTTTGAAGTTGGTGGTTTCACCTTTAAAGAAACATTTATTTCTTAATTTATCGTTAATTTAACTGTATAAAACAGAACAATGCTAAAATAATAACTTAACTAAAATCTACTTTATTTTTTTAAAGTTACCTCTGTAACACTTCTTTTTCTTTTTTTTTAAAAAAGGCGAATAACGACCAACGAGAATTTGTCAATGAAAGTGTTTCCCAATCATACCTGGATGGGCCGGCCAGTTTTATTTAAGGCGGCGAATGTAAAATATATTTTCCGACTTTTGTTGCAATTCCTTTTTTATCCGTAGGCTATAAAATGGCCTTCTAACATTGATCAGTTCAGGCAGGTGCAAGTGATATTACTTACCATGGTTGTCATTAACTAGGGGTGATATTACTGCTTTTTTTATCCTTTTCCAATCACATCCCTGATTTATAAAGCACATTACTAGTCTCAGATATCCTGAGTATTTTGAGTCTGTGTTCTCGCCCAAGAACACGTCGATATAGAAGCTCGGGGCTTGAGATCGAAACACCGATCTTCTGATGCATATAGAGATCTCATTGTTGGTAATGGTACAATTGAAGACTCATGTCATGGTTTTTTGACAAGTATCCAAACATACATTCTTAAATATTCCTTCTATCTTCCCTCCTTACTTTCAACAGCTCACACAAGACAAGATCGCCTGCCTGCCCAGCCACTTCACCAGCCCAACACCTGAAGCCATTGACTGCAGCCACATCCGGACCTACAGGGAGAACGCGACGTCGCAGCTCACTCTGGTTTCAAAACCCATCGTGAAGGAGGTGTTTGGTCGCAAGAACAACCTGGACATCCACCAGTATGTGTTTGTCAACCACCACTGCTACGAGAGGTTCGTCCACTGGTTCGCAAAGTTCTTCCCGTACCTCGTTGTGATCCACACTCTGATCTTCATGGTCGCAAGTAGCTTCTGGTTCAAGTTCCCCGGGACGTCTTCCAAAATTGAGCTCTTTGTTAGCATTCTGGAAAAGTGCTTTGATTCACCCTGGACAACGAGGGCCCTGAGCGAGGTCTCTGAGGAAAGAGGAGAGGAAAAATTGGTGAGCTGGAGGAACACAGTGTCAAAAGGAAGCTCAGAACGACAAACAGATGAAGAGGAAACTAGAGTGCTTCTTCGCTCCTCGTCGGTTAAGTCCAACCCAGAAAAGAAAGCAACGGAGCCTCAATCGGCTCCTTCGGTCTTAGATAAAAAGGAAGGCGAGCAGGCCAAGGCTCTGTTTGAAAAAGTGAAGAAGTTCAGGACTCATGTAGAGGAAGCAGACATCTTGCGTGTCATGTACGTGCTTCAGACATCACTGAAAGTCTTCAAGTTCCTTGTAATCATAATCTACACCTCGGTGCTCGTACCGAACATTGAAATAGTGGTCAAGTGTTACGTTCCCCCTGACCTGACCGGGTTCGATATCTACTGCTGTAACCACAACAAGGCCCATCTCTTCTCCAAGCTCGCCTACTGCTACATCTGCTTTGTGGGCGTGTATGGACTCCTCTGCATCTACACCCTCTATTGGCTGTTTCATCGGCCACTGAATGAGTACTCCTTCGACCAAGTCAGACTGGAGACGGGCATTAATGACATACCGGACGTAAAGAATGACTTTGCCTTCCTTCTGCACCTCGTGGACCAATATGACGCTCTTTTCTCCAAAAGGTTTGCTGTATTTCTTTCCGAGGTAAGCGAAAGTCATCTCCATCAGCTCAACCTCAACTATGAGTGGACTGCCAAAAAGCTACGCTCCCGTCTAGCCAAGAACGCCAGCAACCGGTTGGAGCTGCACTTGCTAATGCTGCCAGGACTTCCCGACACAGTCTTTGAGATTCCCGAAGTGGAATCGCTCAAACTGGAGCAAGTTAAAAATGTCACCATCCCAGCGAGTGTGGCAAAGCTTGAAAAACTGAAGGAGTTATCGCTGGTCTACTGCCCTACCAAGCTCCAGCTGTCTGCCCTTAACCACCTCAAGGAACATTTAAAGGTCCTACGTCTAGCTTTTGAAAGTCTAGAAGAGGTGCCTATGTGGATGTACACCCTGCATGGCCTGGAAGAGTTAGAACTAAATGGACCTTTAACAAACGAGGTGTCCAAAAGCGCCTCTCTGGACTCCTTTCGAGAGCTAAGAGCCCTAAGAATCCTCACCCTCCACTCCACCCTCGCTAAGATCCCACCCAGCATTGTGGATGTTGCACTGCAGCTGCAACGACTGAGCATCTACAACGACGGTGTGAAGCTCCAAGCTTTCAGCACCCTAAAGAAGCTTACCAACATAGTGTCTTTGGAGTTAGTGGGCTGCCAGTTGGAGCGCATCCCAAGTGCAGTCTTCAGCCTGATCAACCTGCAGGAGTTGGACCTGAAGGAAAACAAACTTACCACCGTGGAGGAGATCCTGAGCTTACAGCATTGCCGCCGTTTAGTGACTCTCCGACTGTGGCACAACAAAATCACCTACATCCCCGACCACATCAGTAAGCTTCACTCCCTGGAGACGCTGGACGTCAGCTGGAACAAGATAAGAAAGCTTCCCTCTCGGATGTTTCATTGCACTACACTCAGGCACCTGGACGTCTCCCACAACCAGCTCACCTCTCTTCCTGTAGAGATCAGCATCCTTCAGGGTCTCCAGTTCTTCTCTGCTGCCTTCAACTCATTAGAGACCCTTCCAGAGGAGCTGTTCTCCTGCAAAAGGCTAAAGACGCTGGCCCTCGGAAATAACTGCCTGGCCAATCTAAGCTCCAGAGTGTCGAATCTGGCTCAGCTAGTCCGACTGGAGATTAAAGGGAACCGCCTGGAGTCTCTTCCTCATGAGATCGGTGACTGTCCCCTGCTGACTGTCAGTGGACTGATAGTAGACGATAGCCTTCTGGATCTGCTGCCGTCAGGTGTACGAAGCCGGCTGAGTAATAGCTGAGTTGCAGAGCTCTCATTGACTCGTCATTTTCTCAGTGTAGCATGGAGGTTGATGGTGTTATTCACAATGAGAGATAATAGTATTGTCACAGAATTAAACCATTCCACTGGCTGGATTTTTTAAATATATATTAAACAGGTCAAAAAAAGGGAAACCATAAATGACTCAACGAAAAGACAACAAAACTGAAAATGTATTAAGAAGAGGAGTTCTGAAATATGTGTTTATGGAAAAAACATTTATGCATTCTCTTAAAAAATACTTTTTTTTAAATAAATATTTTAACAATGTTTATAGCTTTGCAAGTGAATTGCTCCCTTTTGTATGTTATATACGTTATATATATCTGCGTTTACAGTTAAAGATGATGCAGTTAAAATTTAAAAACACACATCCTGATTGGATATTTGTTTTTAGGATTAGAATTGTGTTTAACGTTAGAATCGTGCAGTGTGAAAGAGAAAAGGTTTGCAGTTGTTTGGAGCTACATTTCCATGGTTTGTTGATACATTTGTCTAACTTCTAGCTGCCCTGCATCCTGTTGGACAGGTTTATAGAGCAAACAGGAGTGTTTCACACAGTGCAGAGGCTCATGTTGCTCCCTTTCAGACACTAAACAAGTGGAGGGAGAGGACACTGTTCAGTCACAGAATAGAAGCCATTCATCTCTTTGTTTATCAGTCAAGTGAAAGCAGACTGTAATCAAACTTCAAATCAGATAAAAATCAAGCTAGCATGTTTTTCAACTGCACAACTGGAAACAATAATCATTTTTAGAGAGAAGGGAGGTTAAAAAACTTAATTTGGATGAGTAACATATCAAGTGTGTGGATATGTTGTCCTGACATACGCTCTGTCCACACAGTAAAGAAGTATTGGACACATCATGCCCTAGTGCAGATAAACTTACAGTGCCTTTTAAACAGAATAAAGATGGAAGTAAAACAAATTAAAGGAGGTCATTTGAGCTGCTCACATTACGGTTTAGGAGGAGTGGTACACCATGTGCAAAATATTTTAATTTGGATCATTTTTGATCATAAATTCCTGTTCATCTTTTCCCGAAACTACAAAAAAAAAAACATGCTGTTCCACTCCCCTCTTCTTTCCCCCTGATGATCCCTCCGTGTACGAGTATGACAATAGCAAACTGTCATGCTGCAGGTATAGAGAATAGAGTCCACCTTTCTTCTTGAACTACAGTGCAGTCATGTCTTGGCTTGCATTGCCACAGGTTATTGGCATTCCTCAGTATCCTTAGAGCATTATGACACACACAGACATCGCACACCTCCCAGTCTGTCGGAAACCATTTTTTATTTGATACTTTTATTAACTTACATAATAATTAACACATAGTATTTATGAATGTTTTTATGAAAAGATTAAGAAGATGCAGAGTGAATCGTTTGCCTCTCGCCAGAATGCGTCGCAGACTATTTTGCTCTTTCTTTTCCTTTCTGAAGATGGCGGCCGAGCTAATCGGCAGCTGTAACTAAAATAGACGTGAATGCATCTTTGTGACCAAGGCTTGGCTGAAAATAACTTGTTGGACCTCGAGTGGTTGTTTGAAGTTGTAAATTCTGATATCTTCATTACTGTATATTTGAAAAACTGCAACTTTAGTGTGCCTTCAGTCCTAATTGTGTTGATGCAGTATTTTGTTTTGGAAAAATACGTTTTGGAAGCTGCTTCTGACTGATGTGAGTTTCTGAGATTGAACTGTTAGGATGCAGCTCCTGCAGCTTGAAGAACAGACTTTGGTGCCAAGTTTTTAGTGTCAAAGTTCAAACCATATAAAAAGTTTGGTTTTATTATTTGATTACCAAGTGACCAACTTGGCATGGCATTTTATATCATCCAATAAGATTGAGTCCCTGCAGCTTCTGGGCAGCAAAAGCTGAGTCTGTAGGGAGGGGCGGGTTGTCGGTTCAAGTCCCCATACAGAGCAAGAATGGAATTGTGTCTGGTCGCTGGAGAGGTACCACTTTACTTCCTGAGCACAGTCAAAGTGCCATTGAGCAAGAAACTGAACCCCGAACTTCATAGGGCTTAAGTCTCTTTGCAGCGAGGGGACGCCAGTCACTGTGCAACTGTTTTCACATATGCACCCCTTAAAACTTCTAATACTGATCAGGAAATCTTCCTAAGTTAGTTGTTTACACATGTCCCTCACAGCAGGACACTATCCCTGTAGGGCGGGAAGGAGGGAATTATTTTTTGGCGTTCACACAGCTCACCCTGTAAATTTCAGGAGGTTTTCAGGGCTTTGTGCATGTGTCAACGTGCCATACAGGTCCTTTTATGTGCTTTCGGGCCTGTGTGTGTGTGTGTTAGCATTTCTCACAATAAAGAGTGAAAAAATAATTTCACAGAATACATTTTAAAAAATGAGATGGATTCAGTCTGTCCAAGTGCATAACTCACATACCTGAACATGCTCTGAAAATGCAAGAGGCAGCTGTATGTTTTTCCTTCTGTCAGTGCAGTGCATGGTGTGAGTCTGCAGCAGATATAGAAGTCAGAGGAGAACAAACAACAGATATAGTTTAAAACTGAAGTGACTGGTTTTATCCTTTAATTCTTTTAGCTCATGGACTTATCATGACGTATCATGTTTGAAAGAGATCAAGGCCAAAACAAACCAAATATTTCCCCTGTCTGTTAATGTGTATTACATGTTTTTGATTATTTGAGTGATACTAATTTGAAGAAAAAAAATAGGATGCCGTTTTTTAAAGAGAAGGGTGAATCCCCTTGTGAGAGAGGAGTTTAAGATGGTTACTGTGTCATCCCCGGTTTGTTTGTGGTTGGTGTCAACACCTATTTTTTTTCTCTCCCTTAAACTCCATAAACTAGAGTCAGACATTTAGACTTTTTGATACTTATATGTACCTTGTATGTCACTGGGATGTGTTTAACTGTTATATTTGACTAATACCTTATTCACAGCGTTGTCATCGTCGTGAATATATTTTGTGTCTCCTCGGAAGGAGTGAGGGAATAAGCTGATACTGGTTTTTCTTGTTCACTCCCACTCATTTTTCCTTGTAGCTCGTCACTGTGACCGCTATCCCAACCTGCAGAACAAACGAACAACACCAACTCTTGTGTTTATGGGAGTAGCGACACAGCCAGTTAATCCTGCTCTGTGAAGCCAGTTAGCGCCTCCTAGTGGCTGGACGCAGGACTGCGTCAGCTGCATGTCGTAGCACCGTGAAGACACTACATTTGTGTGGTTGATACAGCTGGAGGGTGTAAAATATGTTGGAATAAATATTTGTAGCCATGTGTCTTTACTGCACAAGATAAGGGAGGGCAGACTTCTGAGCTGTGGGAGTCTTTCTAGCTGGCTGACTAGCCGGGACAATATGGGTGGGGATGGAAATGACTCAGTTGTCTCCTGACTAACAAAAGCTAAGGTACCTCTGGGTGGAGGTATTTAACCTTGAGCTGCTCCTGTGGAGGCGTCCACTGCAGTCAAACAATGTGCTTTGACTGTGCAGGGGCCTGTAGGTGTCATTGTTGGGAGTATGTAAATCTGAAACAGGAGGATGACAACAACATTCAACTGCAGACTGCAGACTGCAGACTATACATAGTCCAGTGGTTGAAGAAGTCTTTGAGGTTTTCTTCAAGAGAAGTTGTAGTAAACTACAAAACTTTGACACATATTACAAGACCTGCATTCAAAATTTGAGTAGTGTAAATATACAGAATAGGAAATGTTAAAGTACTTTACATTTTCCAGGGTAATACATATTTTATTTCACTGTCCAAATGTTTTTGTAACATGTTGGCATTACATTTCTCCTGGACCTATAACTTACAGGAAACATGAACATTTCTCTATCATTTGACACGATTTCTTGGAGCTACTTTTCGAATAAACATCAAACCCTCATGTTTAATTTTCAACATTTGACAAGATTTCCTGGTGAAGTTTAATAAAAACAGCAATCACATCATCACAGAATCATCACATTGCATCATCACAATGTCCCAACTTTTTGGTCACAGGGTGACAGCTTCTGTCTAAAGCTCTTAACAAAGTAACTGGTAGCTGAAACTGTCAAAAAGTGTTGAAAAGGAAACAAAATGTTCCTCTTGAAGGAGCATGTAAGAACTAGTCAGGTGAAGAATTAAAGCAAATGTGACTCTAATGACAGTACTTCAGCCAAAGTATACCAAACTAAATAATAATAATAGCTCAAGTCCTACAATCAAAATCAAAAATTAAATTATAAAATACTCTTAAATACTGTTGATTTGGGCATTTAATGTTCGGTGAGCTGATTGCAAAAAGTTTCAAAAGGTCTGCAACATTTTATGATCTTGTTACTAAAGCTGTATGGTTGTAAAGTTATATGGTAAAAAAAAAAGTGCAATATACTCTTCTGAAGTAGCACATCAAATATATATTCAAATTCACAGAATCCTTTCATGCCAGTTTCTGTGGTTATCTTTGTCAGAAGGATCAGGAAGTGAGTGAGTTGTTTTCATGTTTTCATCAGTGTTTGTATCGATGGAGATGCATGTAAACAACAGAGACATACAAAGGTCTGTCAGGGAGATCATGAGGCTGTGCTCAGCGATCCCGCCTGTGCAGCAGCAGTTGAACTGTATCTCCTTTCTCGTCTGCTGGAGTTGGCCCGCAGCACACAAGCAAACAAGATATCCATTGTACTGTAAGAGCCGTGTGCACAAACATCAGCAAACTGTGCCACCGTTACCTGCGAGCCTGAACAAAACAGGGCCCTCATTCATTTTGATCCGTGTGCCCTCTCATAGGGGACTTTCACAGCACAGAGCATTCCAGTGTGGTGTTATTATAAATGCCCTTCATCAATCACCTTCAAGTTCTGAACACTTCAGGATGGCCTGCAGCAGAACAAGAAAACCAGATCTTTTTTTTACTGACGAGGAAAATGCTGTTAGTACGGTTTAAGAAAGGCCACTTTTGTTCTTATTTATTTATCTTATTTGTTCTCCGATGGTTCTCAGTTTTGTTTGTTTGGTCCTCACTGCTGAAGGAGGAATTTTTATAGAAGCATGGAAGAAAAGAAAAGAAACTAAAAGAAACTAAACATTTGATTGTTTCATAATAGTGAAAATATGATCTAAATGCTGTTTCAAAGCCTTCTCTAACATGCCTGAATTTTATTTTTTTTAATGTGAAATAAAAACTCAGAACTTTTAATTTGACAAATTTTACTCTTACCCAATGATTTATTTCCTTTCAATTTCTAAGAAATTAAAATCAACACCGTTAAAAATGCTGTCTGATATCGAATGCAGGTGTAAACTTGAGATTGCAATTATCTTTTTCTTTAGATTTTTTGCAGGGCTTTATCTGAGATAGGACAGTGGAGTCTGAAATCAGAGAGAGAGTGAGTAAAGACACGGGGCAAAGGAGCCACAGGTCAGATCCGAACTCAGGCATCCCGCTTTGGGGACCGTAGATCTTGTACATGGGGTGCAAACTAACCGCTACAGGCGTCAGAGAATGCAATTTAGCCGGTCACTGCTTTCTTAGGCCTAGAAGTCAGATGAGAAACTTTACAGCAGCTAAATATGTAGGCTACTACCTGAAATAAAAAAAACTACAACTCCCAAAAACTTCCAAATTCAACACTTTATTTTGTGTTTTCTTCTTCAAATAATAAAGTGAATAATGTCACTTTAGATTTAAAAGTATTTATATAAATAACATTTCAACAAATCACGATAAATGTCGTCATTTACAAGGTCACAACAATCTTCAGTCCTATTCCAACAATAAATAAGTCAAAGTCTAAGTACATCTAATTAAGAGAAACACAACTATGAAAAGCAATCAGGGGGCATCATATCAAGTATTGTACAATTTTTTAAAACACACACAATGTATCAACTGTTACAATTCTCACACAATAGAAATAATGCAATAATTAGAAAACACTGGGGGAACTATCTAAAAATGTGCACTCCCAATTTAAAGGGACAACAGATATATATATATATATATATATATATATATATACACACACATATACATATATATATATATATATATATATACACACACACACATATATATATATATATATATATATATAAGGTGCCAGAATCGCACTGTGCAAAAGAGGAGGCTACTGTATGTAGCCACCAATCCACTGAAAATAAGCTGCCAAGACAATATGTCCTGTGTCACATATTAATGCTGAGCCACTATCAACAACAAAAAATAATCCTTTACACAGCAATGAATTCAAGTCACCAGGTTTGAAATGACAAACAAAGTCAGGCCAGGGTGACCAGGAGGCACCCAGACTAACTATGAATGTGAGCGAAGAGCAAGTCCATCATGTCAGGCACGCGTGAAGCTCGGGCCACATCTATGGCCGTTTGACCGCTGATATTGGCGTGCTTCAGGTCCGACCGTGGCGCCAAGAACTCCACAACATCTCGGTGACCCTCCCGGATGGCGATGTGTATGGGCAAGGCTCCGCTCTGGTCCGAGACGTTTACAGAGGCACCGTAATCCACCAGAACCCGCAGAGTGTCCAAGAATCCTGTGCGGGCTGCGTCGTGGACAGGCGCTATCCCGTGTTTGTCCTGGATGTTTGGGTCCGCTCCTTTTTCCAGCAGCAGGCCGGCGATCTTGGAGTTCCCCATCATCATCACCTGTAGGAAATATCAGAGAATAAGAAAGCGGAAAGTTAATTTAAGCTGTGTGTACATTTTAAGTGTTGACCCTAGATTGTCCAATTCTCTACTGAATCCAAAATGTTTCATTTAGGAAGTGCCAAAAAGGTCTGGGACACAAAATAACAAATAAAGTCCATACAATTCATAATGTTGATAAGATTAAACCTTAATGACCACAGTCCCCCCCCCCCCCATTTCTGACAGGAGTGTCTTTAAAGAGCTGAAACAATCTATCAATACGACAATTATTAGAAATAAATAGGCAAAACTTATTTATTAACTACTGAAGTCAAGTGACACTTAAACACATCGCACAGTCTCATTAGGCAGCTTCTCATCGAAGAGTACTTTTCTTTTTGTTAATCCCACAACTTTGAGTTTCAGACTGCTGCTTGGACAAACTAGCAATTTGAGGATGTCACCTGTCACCTTGAGGTCTGAGAAATGAACATGGATATTTTTCTGTGATTTTGATGATCTGTACATTTTTTTAAAACAATAATCAATGGATTCAATGTTAGAGGGCACAATTATTTTGAAATAAATGGATGAAATATTCCACGTTTGGCTGACCAGGTCTCAAGTGAAATCCAAGGTACCTGGATTCGGTTACCCTTTTTTATTTCGACAGTTAAAACAGACAGTCTTTTAATGACATGTTTCTGTACTGCTGTCATGACAGGAGACGTTTCCAGACATCCATGACATCAATGTCCAGAACTCCGCTGCCAGGGTCCTTACACGCACCAAGCCCTGGCAGCACATCACCCCCACCCTCATCCACCTCCACTGGCTCCCGATCAAGTCCTGCATCCAATACAAACTCCTCCTACTCACCTACAAATCTCTTCATGGTCTAGACCAGGGGTGGGCAACTGACGGCCCGGGGGCCACATGCGGCCCCCATCAACCCTCAATGTGGCCCTCATTGGAATCATGAACAAAACATGTCAAGATCTGCCATGAAATCATGAAAACCAGAAATATGTCCATAATAATATTTGATCACTGGCATATGTTGAGTTAAATTTGAGACATAATTGATTTCAATCGTTTTTGGAAACTACAATTTTGCCACCTGGCAGTGAGAGTTAAATGAACGTGGCCCTTGCTGTGACCAAAGTTGCCCACCCCTGGTCTAGACCCACCGTACCTCACCGACCTCCTCCATCCCTACACCCCGGTCCTCAGCCACAGGCCTGCTCTCCAATTCAAGCAATTCAGGGTTAAGTGTCTTGCCCAAGGACACATTGTCATGTTTGTAACATAACAATGAGTAAGGTATTTTACCTGCTCTTTTGTAAAGTGTCTTGAGATAACACTTGTTATGAGTTGACGCTGTACAAATAAATTGAATTGAATTGAATCGGACATGTTGCCAGCTGGGGATCAAACCCTCGACCTTCCGGTTGAGAGGCGACGACTCTACCGACTGAGCCACAGCTGAAATCCGCACACCTGCATCCCTGGTCATCTTTAAAAACCTCCTCAAACACACCACCTGTTCACCAAAGCATTCAGCCTCATCTAACACTCCCCCCCCCCCACTTCCCTTTCTCCTTCATTTTGTTTGTCTCTTGTTGCCCCCCTTGGGTTCCATGTAAGGCGCTACATAAATCTAAGTTATTATTATTATTATCAATGTAATAATGTTGGGGGCGGCAGTAGCTCAGTCTGTAGGGACTTGGGTTGGGAACCTGAGGGTCGCCGGCTCAAGTCCCGGTGCGGACCAAGCATGGAAGTTGGTCTGGTAGCTGGAAAGGTGCCGGATCACCGAGCACTGCCGAGGTGCCCTTGAGCAAGGCACCAAACCCCCTCCCCACCACCAGCTCATGAGCTCCCTTAGTGTGCATGTCCATAGGATCCTGTGTGTGTGTGTGTGTGTGTGTGTGTGTGTGTGCGTGTGTGTGTGCTGCATGACTACAGAGTGTAAAAACTGATCAATAAAGTAAATCTTCTTCTTCTTCGTAAAGAGGAAAGGATTGATTGACGTATTTCTCTGGTAACTTGAATGCACGTAAGGTCAATATGTCATAAAGTGTGAGTCACTAGTCCTCACCTGTAGTGCAGTCCTGCCAAACTCATTGAGAGTGTCAGGATGAACTCTGCATTCCTCCAGGATCCTCTGCACCTCGCTGCTGTTTCCTTTGGCTGCTGCCGACGTCAAAGCTCTGCCGGCGTCCATCTGACTCAGGACCATTATAATCTACTGTGTAAAGCCTGGTCAGAAGGAGATGAAGAACAACAGTTACACAGAAACTCAAACACTGGTCTGTACAGATGGTAACAGCAGTGTAATAAACATTAAGAGATTTAATGGTTGACGTCGCATAGATTCAGCTAGTTACTGCAGCTTCCGGCTAACGTAAAGATGTATTTCCCCAAGACGCCATGATACCCGTCGGCTAGTGTAACGTTACATCAGTGTCCTTTTAAAGAAATCATGCGTTTAAACAACTCTTTGTGGACACATGTGTTTGTTTCTAACAGACAGGCATCTCACAAACAGTTAGCACGCAGGCTAAACCGCTAGCATTAGAGAAAGATACTACAGTTGCTGTAAAGTAGCCTTTACCTTGTTCGGTTCCTTCAGCTCCTTAACGTCTCCGAGAGGTTACACGTCGCTGTTTCCAGAGACTTCTTTTAAAATCTTTTTTTTTTAAATTGAATCCAAACAATGACGGTTTATAAACATTAGTAAATACATTTGCGCGCTGAGCTCTGCAGCAGCAGCGTCTCCGAGCTACAAATTTACAAACATTGGAGGTCGACACACGCCGACCAATCACAGCTCGCCCGCGGGGTGTTTTTCTTCCATATAAGGAGAGCGAGGCGGGGCTACTCTTCGGTTACTACACTATCACTGTGGCAACAAGCAAGCAGTCGACCAATCAGAGCGCGCAGCGAAGAAAGCGGGCGATTCGTATACGTTGAAGCGCTTCAAAGGGAGTTCATTCACATTTCTGACCTTTGGATGTAATTCTCAAGAGACAAGTGAGGGGGAAAAAAAAAAAGGCGGGTGTAAGTTTTTTATTTTGGGCGGAATTTCGCGACTGTGATTACACAATGTATGACTACAAATATTAGGAGAAATGCCGCCCATACATGGCGTTACAAACTCTTGACAAAAAGAAAGCAGCTGGCTTCTAACACAGAGGATATCATGACAAATGGTTTTAAAGCTGTAATCTCATTTAGCAAATTACATAATTAGCAGTGGTCCCACAATAGAAATATTAAAAATTTAATTGCACACAGATTTCATAAAACAAAATCATTGACATAAAAATAGGACAGGTGAAATATTAAGACATTCTTTCAGTCAAGGTGAAGAGATCATGAAGGTCCTCCGTGGGTCCTGGTAGTTAGGAATATACAGCAATCCCCACAGGCTTTATACATTGGTCCTCAGTTGGTAGTCTATTTGCATAAAAAAAGAAAACAATAATAAGAGGAAAGGCTAAAATAAACGTAAATAAAATATATCCATGTGTTCCTTAAATAGTGCATTCAGAGCAGCTTGTCTCATCACATTGAAGGCTAATGCTGAGTTAATAATTTACCTCCACTCTGTGTTATGTACCGGACCCAAGGTAAAGCCTGGTAACCACTTTTTTCAATAATCTTCATATATCGCACCTGGTGAAAAAGTGAGTGAGAGAGAGAGAACATGTTGAGGCATGAAACCAAATTGTGCATCATCAATTAATTTAAAATCTAGCTGGCCGGTCTGAGCACAAAATATGATCTCTTACATGACCTGACTTGACTATCAAATGTGCACGCCCTATGCAAAACGCTAGGGGACTGCTTAAGCTTTAAAAGTGCCGTATTATTACAACAAGATATTACTTGTACAAATACACTTAAAGTCCAAAATAATTGTGCTTCTACTGGCTTTATTTCTGGGATGTTTGACATTAAAGCAGAACGTAACATAAGCACATTTACTTGCATACACACACTCGCAAAACGCACCTGTATTCCTGAGACTGTGAAGTACGGGATTTCAAATTTGACAGTGATGGGAGGTTTGCCCTCCAGCTCATTGTTCTCCACGCTGGGCAGACCAAAATGAGCTCTCATTAGGAACTCTTTACCCCCCTGGATGGACAGATGGATTAACAGACATGAGTTAGCATAGCACAAATTATTATCTGTGATCACAATGTGGGCCAATCAGCGGTAAGATTATGATCACCTATGCAATCTAATGCAATGCAATGCAGCATATCCACTGTAAATTCTGCTTTTACAAAGCCGCTGCATTTTCAGTTTAATGGACATGATCAGAAAGCTCATAATTCTCCTGTATGTTTATTACTGCAGTCATGGTGGGAGATGGTGAACTAGAGTGCATTCAACTGAAATATGTTCCTGATATTTCACCAACTCCATAAACATACAGGAGGGGAGCAAAATATAAGGAACACATTTGAATTGAATGCACTCTAGTAAACCACCACTATAAAAAAAATATGAAGTAGAATTATAACCTTTCCGACCACGTCAACAAAAACATGAAAATGTAGACGCTTTGTAAAAGTTGATGTTGTAGAAATGTTGTATTGGATCGCATTAGATTTCATTATTGTCATAATGTTGTAGTTGTGTATTTCTTACAGGAAATGACTTGATGGTCCACACCACCAGGTTCTTCTCAGGAACATATTTGGCGTTGCCTGTGCTGGTTTTGAACTTCGGTGAGTCGGCATCACTTGGGACAGGGACCCTCACTTCCACATTATTTGCCACAGACTGTTTTTTAAATTGTCCTTTGCCTAAAAAAACACAAGACAATGTTTAAAGACATCTTCTGTTGCCCACAGTGCCACAGAGCAGGAACAAGTCCTGCTGTTTGTGGCATCACTGATTAAATGTCCTTTCATGCTTTTGCACTTTTTTTTGGCTTATCAACAATCACATCTCCTGTCATATAAAACAATAACAAGACTTTCTGCAACTGTACTTCATTTTTCTTTGAATTACCTTAACCATGATTTCCACTCTGCTGTGAGAGAATTTCTCTATGACTGATTCGATCCATATCAACGGCTTCACCTGTAAAAGAAGAACAAATATGTCATGAACAAATAATGAATATGGTCAAACACTTTATTTATTTTCAATTAAATTCAAGTAAATCACTTTTATTATAAATCACATAATATTTAAATTACCCCTAGTGTGTTTGCTCATTCTGTATAAAATGGTCCCTGCCACTAATTCATACTAACATGTGTATTGATGCGGTAGGACATGAGTTCAGACTCCCCGTCGGGAGGAATGAAGGAGATCGTTCGATCACTGTCAAAGCGAGAGAGACGGACACACTGGTGGAACTTCACATCCTCCATCACCACCGTCTTTCCTTTGTCACCTGAACACAGCACAATAAAATCGATATTTTAAATATAACCAAAGCAGAAAGATAAGCTTCATGCACATACAGCAAGACGACTGGAGTTACAGATGGGTGGTATAGAGATAGAGGCTACATAGAAACGTACGTCCAGTGAGAGCAAAAAGCACTCGATCGTTGAGGCCCAGCCGCAGCTCAGGCATCCCAGAGAGCATGGTCTTCAGCTTGATGCTGCCCACGATGTCACTGCTCATCACGCTGCCATTAGCATTCACCTGAACACAACACACAGAGGAGAAATCATTCTATATTACTTTGTTCTGTATCTGATTAGGTCCTCTTCATCTAAAGATATTGTCATCAAAGCCTCAATGTACCTTATTTAATCTGACACTTGCGCATGAATACACACTAACAGAGGCTCTCGCTCTTCAATATCAAAACAGATACATCAGTCATACTAATGGGACTAAACAAACCTGCATGCTTACACTTGAAGCTCCTGTTGAGAGACGTTCAGTTTGAGTCGATTTTGACGGTCTAATGAATCACTCATTGAGAATCTTTGAGGTGGAAAATGTAAAAGAGAGGCGGTTTCTGCAGCACGCAGCGGCACTTTGTCGGACACTTACCCTGCGGCACTGGATTTAGGGATTAAAATAACCGTTTTTTTACGATGATTGTCTTGTGTGCATCAGTATCAATTTCATAAGCAGCCAAAAACCTCTCACAGGAGCTTTAACCTGGATGTGTAATTTCTGCATACTTTATATAGAGATTATTCAGGCAGCCTTTGCTCTATTCTGGAATATTCATCACAATCATTTGAAACTCTTTTGATGTATTTTGAGCAAACATAAATAAAGTAACACACATTTAATAACACTTGACTGAGCGAGTGACTGAAGGAACAATCTAATCCAACGTCTGTAAACTATAAATGGTGATTCTAAATACAAACAGCACTATGTGACTTTACAGCTCAGTACAATTCTTCCAAGCCGAGCAGATGTTTTAGTGTCGCTCTGAAAATATTTGATTTTTTTAAGATTTATTTTGGGGCTTTTTGTGCCTTTAATGGAGAGATAGGACAGTGGATAAGAGTTGGGAATCAGGGAGAGGGAGTGGGGAACGACATGCAGGAAAGGAGCCACAGGTGGGAACCTGGGCCGCCCGTTGGAGGACCATAGCCTCCATACATGGAGGCGCATGCAGTCTGACAGTTTTGAGTGAATTACATGAAACATCAGCCCTGTGTCGTATCTTACCAGCACATTGATGGACTCGATGACGTCTATGAAGACCTCGTTCTTCTTGTATCTGATCCCCTCTGACCTCCAGGAGACGGCGTTGGTGACAGTGGTTGGCACCTTGGACTTGGCCACCTCGAGCTTGGCCCCTTCCTGCGTGATGTATCTGCAAGAAATGAGAAGCGAAGAGACGGCCCGCTGTGATTTACACACAACACTTTTATACTCAACAGAATATTTACGTGTCTGAATGTGCACATGTCTCAGAGCCTCACTCTTGTAGGATCTTGCTGTCTGTCGTCTGAGGAAAGCCGAAGTCCATCAGCTCGTCCAGCAGCTCGTAGACGACCACAAAGTTGTCCTGAATGCTCTCCTCCTCCAGCTCTTTGAAGTACTCTGTGAACACCTGACCAGGTAAAGACAGGGTTTTTTTTTTTTAACTCTATCTGACATCATCTTCTGGTTCTTCATGTACAGAAGAGTTAATCGAGAAACAGCACAACAGTGTGTATGACAAACATTTAAGTCATTAGTTACACGTGTGTGTGTGTGTGTGACTCACCTCCACTATTTTGTAAAGAAAAGAGT